CTTCGCGAGCGAACTTCCACTTTCCACTTCCGCTCTAAAACCATTTTTAGAGTATTGAGGTGCAGCTGAAAATCTGGTGTTACTATCACCACGTCGTCCAAATACACAAAAACATATGGCTCCAGTTCAGGCCCAAGCATCAGTCTTTGCCAAGTAGCTGGAGCATTGTGAAGGCCGAAGGACATCCTGTTAAATTGAAACAATCCACGACCGGGGTACCCTAAACGCTGTCTTCTCTTTGCTTTCATCCGACAGGCTAATCTGCCAATATGCTGATTTTAAATCCAGAGTGCTTAGATACTTTGCGTTTCTTAGGCGGTCTAATAAGGTAATGGGTACGCATCTTTCTTCAACACCATATTCAGGCGTCTGAAGTCTACGCAGAACCTGTATGATTTATCCAGTATTCGGACCATTATAACGGGTGAAGACCATGGACTGCTACTTTTCTCGACTATACCCATCGCGATCATCTCATCTAATTCTTTATGAATTTTTCTGAGAACTGCAGGCGATGCGGGGTAGTAATGTTGTTTAATTGGTGGATGATCACCAGTATCTATTTTATGAGTATAGTTCTTCACACATCCAATCTTCGGTCCTTCTCGATATAAATACTTACGGAGAACTTCTTGAAGCTGCACCCTTTCGAAATCTCTTAGCGATTGCTCAGAAACTAATGCACTTGCTAAATGACAATCACCTGTATGGGTGGGATCTTTGAACGTCCAAATATCATTACTTAAGTCTGGGACGACCCCCATTGATTTCCAAAAATCTACTCCAAGAATTAAAGGTATAGTTAGATCAGGAGCCACTAACGTTGTAATTACCCTAACTCTATTTTCTAACTTAAAGGGTATGGTAACTTCACCTAAAACGGAGCATCCTTTTTCAGGTTCGGAACCACAATGCTGCTAACATTAGACGGTCGCTTGTGCAAGTGACCTTTAATAAGTTCCCAACCAGGTATACCCAAAATCGTACAGGAAGCACCTGAGTCCAGTAAGCCCATCATGGAGCGTTCAAATATGTTTACAAGCAGATACGGTCGTTGATCCTGAGAACCAGATTTGCTGAGTTTATATCTCTCAGCCCACGCTTCAAATGCAGCTAACATCTCTTCACGGGTTTCATCAGGATACCCCACATATGGCAGAGAGTGTGTGGGTAAACTTAGTTCCCTCTGCTTCTCCGTTTCCCGTCTTTGTGGCCTTACTTGTTCTTCGATTCCTCCACTGCCCACACTCGTATATTTTGACGCCATTTTCACCGCAACCATTACAGAAAACACGTCAAGATTTCTTGCAATCTCGAAAACAGTGTCCTTGTTGATTACAGTTCCAGCAAACCGCATTACAGACCTTGGGTCGTTTCTGTTGCTCAATAGCATCCACCTCAACATCTGAAGTAATTTCTTGGGATCCATCCATATTAAGAGGAGCGATTTCTCTAAAGTTCCTCCCTTGATTTCCATAGTACCCCAAATCAGGCTCTAACAAACCGTTGGTCGGAGGTTCCCTAAATCTTGTGGTAAGTATTCGGCCCAAAGATAACTTACCAAGTATCTCTTCCACCTCATTGAGATCTGCGTACCGCGTTATGCCCAACAGCGTCAAGTATTCAGGCCTTAAATTCCTTTTAATTATGGTCAGATGTTCTCTCTCAGTCATCGGTGTCGACAGCCGGCCCATAAGCAACCTAATCTTTGCTATAAATACAGCTGGTGACTCACTAACGCCCTGCGTCCGACGGGGTATCTCGTTCATCAATAATCACATGTCGTAATCAGGATCCCTAAATGCCTGCTTTAGTCGAGTCACCGCTTAATCCCAATTGGAACACCGATTTCTGTTCATTCGAAACCAGATTAATGCTGATCCTGTGAAAAGGTCCCCTGCTACTTGAAATAACTCATCTGGGCTAACCCCTCGAGCTATTCTTTGCTCTTCTACTTCCTCTAAGAATGAACTTGAAGAAGGATCCGATGAATCACCTGAGAACCCATTTATATGCTTTTGTATCCTCAACGGATTGTACTTTAAATGGCGGATCTGAAGCTCGGGATGTAGTTATAATATCTATTGTGGTTAGAGACTGTAGTGTAATCACGGGTTTCTTTTCCCAAAGTTCGGATATTAAAAATGTAACCCGATCACCTTGCCGCTTCCACCGCTCTTGAAACTCTTGTGGAACAATTAACTGGCCTAAGCGACTATGAAGATGCCCCACTCGTGTGTCTAGAGGCCTAAACTCCATAACATCACCTATCGTGAGCTCCTCTAAACGTTCAGCCAGTGCTGCAAATTTGTCCATACAAATCTCCAACTTTTCCTGCAAATTTAACGAAGCTATGATTTTGTCGAGTGGTTGAACGTTTTCAGTAAATGCTTTCACGAGTCTCTTCCTCAAATCATTAATGTCACCTACATCGGAAAGCCCCCGAATTCGAAGTCCATAAGCCAACTCGTCCTTTAGTAGCTTTGTCGTATCCATGTTAAGCAATATCTCCCATTTATCGATATCTCCCTACAATACTGCTAAGCTGGGCTGTTGGGCGCCAATGTAATGTTCCTTTAAACGTCAACTTAATGTTAAAATTATAATCAAGAAGGGCTTACCCAGTGAAGGGGGAGTGAGTTCTTGCTTACTGACTATTTCTTCAGGTGATATTAAATAAGTGATAACGTCTCCATAATTAGCCAATTTATTTAGAATATGATCAACTTAAGCCAAAAACAATGAACAAAATTTCTCACAATATAATCAAAACAACGTTTTCAGTCTGTATCACAGTCTCCAACCCTATAACCTTCCTTAGCAAAAAATAAAAATAAATCTTATCACAACACCTGTTATTTTCAAATTCTGTCATTTAACCATTTTGTCAACTTATATATATTGAAATATTTATAAAAAAAATAATGTTATTTTATAAAACTTATTTACTTAATATCAATAGATGTTGCCATCTGGTCTGACCAAATTTTTATTATTGGTTAGGAAATTTAAAAGTATACTCTACTCAAGGAAAGTGGTAAGTGAAAGTCGTGTAATGCATGCACAGCACTACCTTCAATATTTACTTTTGAAGGTATCCAATAATTTTCTATTTATTTTTTAGTGAATTTCCTAGTTAATGAAGATGAGATTTATAATTTATCTATTTAAGTGAATGTTTTGATTGTGCAGAACAATGACAGCTGTAAAAAATTATGTGAACGAATCCTTGAGCTGGCAACTACTTCATGTGGTTTCAACGGAGGTGTCCCTGTTATCATTCCCACTGCAATGGATGTCTTCAGGCAGTTGTTCACTTGACACTTCATGTTTAGCTATACTGATGATGGTATAAACATATTTGTAATTTATAACATACTGATTTAAATATAAATTGTAATTTATACTTTATTATTTATTAAAAATTTCTCTTGAATGTTTGTTTTAATTTTATAAATTAATATATAATGAAGGAGGTTAGATGTGTGAGAAAATATATTTTAAAAAAAATTTATTATGAACTCAGAAAATAGTTGATTTTGTAAGGTATTCTATTATAATGTCAATGTGGAAAAGGCATTAAGAAACACTTAATACAATTAAATGATTTAATAATTTGATGAATTTTCTCTCTGTGAAAGCTGAATATAGTATAACTATTTTAATACTTAATGTAACTATTTTTGACATATAATCAAGTTTGTTATTTCCATGCACTTAACTCAGTTCCATCTAAAAGATGGCTTTTTGCAATAGAACAGTGGCATCCACAAACCAGATATTTTCTTTTTGAATAAGTATAAGCATATATGTAAATAAAATATTTTAAAATGTAAATTAATTTAATATTTGGAGAATCAATTTCTACCTGGATTTTGAATTACATATTTTGTTATTGATTTAAAACATTAAAAAAAAAAATTGTTTACATATATTTCAGGATTTTTTTTAATGCTTTCCTTATCCATTACAATTTTTTTTTATCTCTTACCTCCTCCTTTCTGGTAAAGGGGGTTTGTTCTAGAGGTATAACCGAATTTATTCTAACAAAAGTGGGAAGGTCGATATTCATTCCTTGAGTCCTTTCCGAAATAAATATCAAACCGCCCAGACTGAATTCGAACTGGTACTCTAGAATATTAAAACATGCAATGCTTTAATTTTCTCACACAACCACAGCCTCTGCTGCTCATTACACTTAAACATGTTCAGGTTTTTTCAGTTAGTTAACATTTATTTATTGCAGCTTTGAATTGAATACAGAAATTATAAAAATACTGTTAATTCCTGCAATTTAATGTAAATAACATCTACTAAGCTTTGATATTTGTTGTGAATTGTATATAGCTTATAAAAACCTTTTCAATTATCTATAAGATCCATCCACAACCTCAACTGTTTAAATTTTGAGCAGATACAATTACCCATCTATTTGTTTTTATTTTATCAAACAAAAATCATTTTTATTGTATTACTAGCCAAGTTAGATAAGTAAATTGAATTTTTTCAAACCTATAAATTCTAATGATCTGTGGATAATTTAATCAGTAATTATATAGTTTGTTCATCAGTTTTTATTATTTGAATACTTAATACTTGACCGTTGCATTATTAAGGAAGGAGATGGTCCGCCGTAGAGGTGATAGATAGACTAAATAGTGGCAAAACTATTTTATTAAAAGCCACTATTTAGTCTATATATGACAGCCACCCCGGACCATCTCATTCCGTTTTTATTATTTGTTTGTTTGTTTGAATATTAAAATATAATATATTGCTCTCCTGACAAAATTGTTGTAAAATCTGCCAGAAATATAATAATTCTTTCACTTTAGTAAACAACCAGGCCCAGACATTTAATTAATTATATTATCACTTAATACTATGTATCCATTATTTTAAATATCCTGAGTCTTAGTTTCTTGCTAATACTAAATTATTATGCTACATATTATTCTATCTTTTCAATAGGTTTTTATAAGGTAAAATAATACAAGGTATTTTTATTATAATATATTTGTTATGGAATATTATCACAATTCATAAAATTATATACTGAGAATTAAATTTAGACTGCAAAATCTAAAAAGTATTAATTCGGCTATACAAGTGTATATTAGTACAGGGTTTCAAATATTTATTCAATTATCGTTTTCATATATTTTTTTTTACAATATACAAGGAATCATTAAATAATACAAAAATTTTCCATAACTTTAGACTATATTAGAAATTTTATTAATTTGATTGAAATTTCTGTTTGTAATAAAACAAGTTTTAAAGCTATAAGCTTAATTATAAATAAAAAGTAATAATAATTACGCTTGGCAGTCTTATACTGTAACCGATAATATCAAATTATAGATTAATTCATACCAAATACAAATAGTATATATTATATATTATAGTCTATTGTACTCTGTACAAAACACAACAATTGCAACATTTAGATATTTGAATCGATCACAGTATACATAGTTTCTAACGTAGTATGGGATCTATCACGCACCCAAACTATCGTATATTAGTAATTAGGGCCGAAATATAATATTTTAAACAATTAAATATAATTACAAATACAAAGTTGAATTCGGGCCTAACTAAGAATATACAGAAAGGAAACAAAGACATACAACCATATCGACAATCATACAAGCAGGACTATAATACATTTATTAGGAAAACAAAAGTCAGATCCTCCAATGGCTTGTAAATCTATAAATGACTATCATGGAGTTAATGAAGGAGTTAGAGGCCCAACACCGCTCTGGTTATATATATTACATCAATAGTATCATTTTTTGCATCAGAGAAGACAGATGTTGGTGAAAATTCCCGAAAATGAATTAAGTCTTATAAATACATAAAAGGAACTCCAAATCGATTTGGTTTAGCCATCTGAGGAGGTGACGTAGAAATTCCAGGCTCGCTTCGCTACTTTCTGGCGACGGTGACTGGAATATCTTATATTTTATACTATAATTAATTATTTATACGTTGCGCTGGCTATGAGAGGTAGTCAGGGGAGGGCTCTGCCAGAGGATCAGGTGTCGTGAACAAAGGGTTTGGGAAGTCTGGTGGATGAGGGAGAGGGCCGTCTACCTTAGGCCTCCTTCTGTAAGCGATGAGCCAGCAGGAAACTGCTACTGCAACTGCCACCAATGCTAAAAGTGCAGTTATGACAAGTGCGATGATGAAGCCAATCATCGACACACATATATCATCTATTTGCTGCACTTCAGGAGCTATGAAACAAAAGATTTTCCATTTAATATTCTAGTTTTACCTTCCTCTAATAAAACTAATTCTGTAACTTGTATACTTAGATAATAAAATTAAATGTGTTCAGAAGTTATGTGAATAATATATTATGATTATTCAATCTATTTTTTAAGAATGAAAAATAAATTAAGAAAGATTTATGATCAATTTGTTAGATGTTACTTATGAAAATGTAAGATTTCTTGTATACTCAATATACATATAATAGTTTTGGTACACTAATTTAAATTTAAATTTTCATTAGGAAATAATTATCTTTCAGTCCATTAGCTTGTTTTATGAAGCAGAACTTTTCGAAACAAATGTACATGCTAATAAAATAATATCTCTTCAATCTAAAGTCCTCCAAAACCAGTAAAATTAGCGTTTTTTTTTTTTTTAAGGAAAACGATAAATAAATGTACTTACACAATCGCCCCTCCCTAGGATCTATGAACCTTTCTTCTCTCCTCTCAAAAGTTAAGATGGCATTAGACTGAATAGTGATCTCCTCTCGCAGCTGACCCTCAGAGACAGGCTCATAGATATCGGCTCCAGTCCTGTTTGTGTCCCTTATCTCACGCCGGCGCCTTCCAAATGCATTGTATCCTCGGCAATTCACCTGCATCCATTACAATTAGAATTAATTTATAAATTTCTGTTATTTTATTTAATTCCTCCAATGTTGTAAATATTGCTCTCAATCTAGAATTGATAGTACTAGATTAAAGATGAAAACAACTAAAATGCGATTATACTGTTCTTTTTTGAACTGGGCTGAGGTTACTTTTAATTTAATTTAACTAAAATATTTTAAGCTTTATATAAGTGTTAAAGTCATAAATTGTAACTCAGATTATCTTTAGAGTTAAATAGTAGACATACACGATAATTTGATTAAAATAATGATTTCTTCAGATAGTAGTGACAATTCTAAATGGTGTAATTAGCTATTTTTATTAAACATTATATTACTTAAGTCTCTTCAAAGTATTATTTTAAAAACTATAAATATTCTGACAGTGTATATAATTTCATATGTTTTTCTGTTAATATATTTATCATTCCTTAAAGTAAAGAAACAAATATTGTTATAGGAGAGTTATTCTTATATAGTTAAAATACAATGATATGTATTTTATTTTCATCGTTTTTTTTTTCAGACTAAATTATAGTTTGAGTTAAGTATATTAAAATATTTACCAAAAAGATGCTCGTTAACAAATACAAATATGCATAAGAAAACATTTGCTGATGTAAGGTAGACAGGAGTGATACCCACAGGTAACCTCAATGCTCAGTCCAACCTTGAATAATAATGAATGGTTGGCTTTTGTTTGAAACATGACCTTAACTGTTTGGAATTCCAGTAGATCCTAATGTGAGGAGCAAATGGCCTCATGGAAAGCATTGTCATTGATGTTTCAAATTAAAAATGGTTGATTTGAACCATTATGATTTAATAAAATTGTGAAAATAAAAATAATTGAATTTTAAGGTTCAAATTTATTCATTGATAAGATAATATATAAAACCAGTAGTAGTAGCTATGTACTTAAAGAAATTAGTTTTAATAACAATTATATCTAAGGATAATAAAGGAACTTTATTTTCTTGCCGTTTAATGCAAGTGGGTAAATTTCACATGGGCTACATCATATTTCCAAATCTTCTTAAAATTATATTTTAAGGTGAGGATTTAACAATATGGATGGGATAATTAAAACATTGTGTTATTAGGTGAATTTAGGGAAATAATTCATAATATTGGTATATGACTGTCTTTTTTTTTTAACATATTTTTTCAGAGCATCTTGGGTTACCAGTTTATCACTTAGTTAATGTATTGTCAAGATGGACAACCAACTTTGCCAGAATCACTTCAAGCATTCAAAGTTCTGATCAAAGAATCAAAAATTGTCATTCAGGAATTTATTCAAAACTTTAACAATTCATAGGCTCCTATGAATATAAACTTCTTTTTTCATCGAAAGGTAATAATCCCTTTTATATCCTTTCATTCAGATAATTCTTTATGAGATCATATGATAAGATAATTTATTTATTGTGAGAGATTTTAAGTTCGTTCAAATATGCCTGTATTTGTCTATATAGATTTTAGTTGTCAATGTAGTCAAGAAAACACTATTCAAAATTTATAGTTACATGATTGTATTGACAGAAATATTCTGTATTGACTCGAGTGTTGCTTGGATTATAATTTTATTTTTCTATTGTAATTGTCTTTCTTTCAGTTTTTACATATTTTAATTACTGAACGATAACTGAATTTCCTTTACACATTGACAAATGGTCAATAAATATCAAATTTTGTTTTAATTTTAATTATTCAAAAATAATATTACACTATGTTTAATTTATGTCCCTATATTTAATGTGATGATGCCCACCCATATGACTTGCTGTATGCTACTATTATTCAATAATTATTACTATTATTGAATAGTATTGCGAAGAATGTATATAGAAATGGATAGAGAATCACTTACAGGTTGACACTTTCCAAAGCAGACTCTGATGTTACACTGGAAGCGAATGTTATCGCTACTGGGGAACTTGAAAGCATTGAAGTTGGCCATTAGTGATTGCGTTTCAGGGTTGTAATCCCACTCGCCAAATATTGACGGGTCGGTTGCACAGCCATTCTCATCAGTTACTTCATATTCATTTTCGACTGTATCCTCCATTGTTTTAGCTACACAACTTCGGGCAAATCCTCCATAAATAGCTATAGAACAGAGAGGGGAAACCATATTTAGAAAATCGAACATATTAAATTATTCAGAAAACAACTTGGTTTACTTCAGCGATTTGTAATAAAAAAAAAATGTTAGTTTGAAAGACAAATTATAAAATTTCTTAATAGAAAAAGACTATTTCTATAATTAAAATCTTATCAAAACTTTTCATTAATCAATGGGTTGTGAAAAATTTGAACAATTGATAAAGTTTTTATTTTTTTACTTCAATAACGTATTGAAGTAATGTATTTACTGGTTTTATCAATATAAGGATTCACTGTTTTGAAATTAAAGCTAATAAGAAATATTGTGAACAGCATTGGATAGATTTTGAAATAATTATGTCATAGAAAAAACAGATGCTACTATATAAAATCAAATTCAGGAAGTAATAAAAATATACTAATCTTTTCATTAATACTAAAGAAAAACTGAAGTCATTTTATCAATTACTATATGGTTTAAATAATATCTTCGGAAACTATTTGTATTTTTAATATTTTTGTGAAAAATTAAATTTTTCCATTATCATTTTACCAAAAAAATAAATTTTATTTAACTTACTTGATGGCTGGACCTCAACTTGAAGCATAAGATTGTCACCGATCTCAGCTGAATTAATTTCTTGACCAGAGTGAGTAACAATGCGCATGAAGCAAGTGGGTGGAGGACCAGTATTTGCAATGGTTCCAGCTGTTGTCAACATGGAAACATTGAACCCAAGAGTCACGTTCTGTTCTCCAGTCGTATACACACATTTAATGTGATATGCTTGAGTTTTGAAGGTCACTAACATAGGGTGTTTTTGTATGACTAGAACAAAACTTGCCTGTCCCTAAAAAAATATGAATGATATTTATTAAATCATATTTAATTTTTGTAAGCAACTGCTCTCTGAAATGATCAATAAATAAAAAGTTATATATTAAATAAAATTCAAACATTCTGGAAAAATCATAATATATAAAACAAACACAACTTGATGTACTTACATTGACATGAATAAGACCACAGGTTCCAAAATTGACTTTGAAAATTTCTGTTCGAACTGGCGAGTCGTTTGGAACAGAAAGGACGCGTCGACATTTCTCATCTTTGCTATGACCTTTGACATAAAGGACTCCATTGAATCCCTTTTCTTCAATATGAATTTCAACTTGAACACCATCGGACAGGCAGCTAACAATCATTTCAGGTTGAGGGAAGTCCGTTTTAGCAGTCACTGGCGGCTCTGCAAAGAATTTTAAATAGGATTAACATACATAATGTTACCGTTTTATCAATACATTTTTTTTTAGTTAATAATGAAAAGAAAAGAAATTATCAATTTAGAGAAATGTTAGTAACAAAACAGTAGAGCTAAAATGCATTACTAGTTTTTATTGTAGCCTGTAACTTAAATAATCTGATTATGTAATCAACTGAGATGGACAACTTTTGAAAATTTTTCACCTATGAAATATTCTTTTACCTTTACAGATAACTAGCAGAAGTTCATAGTTTAATTACTAGCATTACTTCAACCAAAAACGGACCTTAATACATTCTATTTCTTATTATTTGGAAGATATGGGATGTGTATCATATAAAATGGATTATACACTTACTAGAACTTGATGTCTTATTACATAAAAGAGATTAATAACAAATAGTAGTTAACTTAATTTCACAGCTTTACTCTGATTGTTAGCCAAGTAGAAGTGATCCAGAAAATGCTTATAGTGGATTAAAAGAAGAAATAAAAATGTAAAAAAAAAACAACAAGAGGAATAGAGATGAAGCTTGATAGAAGTTTGGAAAGAGATGAAGAGAAACTGATTTAAAGTCAGTTTTTTAAATTTTGCTCCAGCCACTTACTGCAAATAACTTCCGGATCTCCTATATTTCCTTTAATGCATTGGCAAACAGGGGTATGACTAGTTGTATTGCAGAATGCATTAATACCACACACTTTCTCAGCACATGGATCTTCACAAATCTTTGTCTTACTGTTACAGTATTGACTGTCTAAGCAATCATCATCTGTTGTACATCCTGGGCCTACTGTATCATAGTAATAGTAATAGTAGAAATATATAATTTAATAAAAAAATAAAAATGTTTTATCTTTAATATTTCAATTATTCAGCAAATTCAAATCATTAAAATATAAATTTTTATTTCAATTCATCAGTAAATATATTTAAAATATTCAATTCTTGTTTACCTGGAAGACAGTTTCCATTTATATCCAAATGATAGCCAAGATCTGTCCTGCAGATGCAGTTACCACGTTCGTCAACAATGAGACCCTTCTCTAGATCACATACACACCGACCTTTCTCGTCAACCTTCAATCCCTTCTCGGGAGGGCATCGCTCACACTCATCATTAAGATTAAGTCCAGTACCTGGTGGACAAACACATTCACCATCCTCGTTGCGAACAAATCCTTTGTCGGCTGAGCATTCACTCACTGTAAATTAATATTAAATTTTGGTAAATAAGCATGTTAGGAAAGAAAATAACTGAAAAAATTTTAATGATGAAATAATTTTTACTAAACATTTTTTATTAAATACATATGAGTGGCTTAGTATCATATTATATATTTTTCAGAAAGTGAAGAAAAAGTCTATTTTTGTTCTATAGGTTCAACTCTAATTGTTTCTGATTATTTTATTTAAGAATGTTCAAGTTGAGTTATGAAAAAAAAATCTATCTGATTATAATATCTGAGCTAAAGTTAATGTAAACTCAGAAATTAAAACAAAAAGGAAATAAAATTTATAATTACCAGGAACACATTCTACAGCTGCATTTCCATAATATCCAGGAAGGCATTCGCATATCATAGTTCTGACAGGGTAAGTATCAAACACTTTACATTCACTGTTTGTTCCACAGGGTTGAGTAGCATTGCAAGGATTCACACATTCTTGATTGATACAGGCTGTCTGTTTAGGGCAGTCTTGGTCTTCTTTACATTTAACTTCAACTATAAGTTTAAAGTTGGTAAGAATTATAAAATAATTATGCTTAATCTAATTATTTTATTTTTTTTAAACTGTAAATAACAATACCTGGAGTGCAACCTTTCCTAGTGTCACCAATGAAACCTGGTGGACATTTACAATCGACAACATGATTAAATACAGTACACTCGCCCGGTGGTAAGCAAGGATCACTGTCTTCACAAGGCGATTTGCAATGTGAGTTTATACATGCTTTATCGGAAGGACAGTCTGAATTGGTTTCACACTCAACATGAACACAGCCAACATGTGGATCACCGGTAAGTCCTGGAGGACATTCACACAATGCAGTATGATGGGAGCCATAGCAAATAGCTCCGGTCCCGCAAGAACTTCCATCAGGTGAACAAGCTGGTACACATTCTCTGTTCAAACAGGCTTGTTGGCTGGGACAATCTGTATTGCTTCGACAACCAGCTAAAACAAAAATTTTTTAGTTTATATATGAGTACTTGCATTGCACAAGAGTTGATTCATTTAACCCGGCAAAGGTATAGCTGTTGTAACCACCATTAAAGTTATTGTCTCATCAAAAAACAGTCCCTACTTAGGGATTCATTGGTTCTCTTTCATGTTCTTCTGATATATAATTCTTATAGAATTGTTATTAACCATTTTATGATATATTTAGTTAAACCAATCGAACCAATGACAAAAATAACAGTATAATTAATAAAAGTATAGAAGTCAGTTTGCTGAAATGCATTCAGAAAAGAACTTTTTATAACAAGGTATGGAGGAAAAATATTGTTTAATTTAAATAAATGAATTATTTATTTTATACAATATCAAAAACAAAATAAACATAAGTAATAAAATGAACCATAGTGAAAAACTGTTTGAAATAATCAATTGGGTCAAACATGTCTCTATATTTTTGTGTAAAACCGTAAACAATGTTGACACTGGGAACTTTTCCTGCACCTGGTCGTGCTCCACTAAAATCATTTTTAATTTTTATTCTTTTTTCACCGTTCTGGCAATATAGGGAAAATACAGGTTCATCATAGATTTTTCTAATATGTTTAAAGATTTTTTTATTCGGCAGCTATAACGAAACAGTAAATAAGCAAATAAGCTACTGTATCTGTAAGAGGAATACATGAATTACTTTGAATGTTAGATTTCGCTGTTACAATCAACAAGAATTGACCCAAAAAGGTATCACTTCATCTTTTAGGCAATGTTGCCTCAACCAAATAATAAAAAAAATCAACCTTACTGGTTGTGAAAGCTTTTCAGTATCAAAGATTACTTTTGAAATATTTGGGAGATAGCAATGCTAAAAAGAGGGAATGTCAGAAGAAGGGAATACTGCATAACTAATTAGATCATGCAGAAAGTTCGTCATTTTGACAAATGCTACCTTTGCCGTGTTAATGCATACTAGCTTCTTTTGGTGCTTATTAAAATGACTAACTCTATAAATAGTTTTAATTAATAAAAATTACAAAAGAACTCTTACCTTTTTGACATTCAATTTCTGCATTTCCATCGTAACCTGGAAGACATGAGCATACAGGCTTATGATCTCTCACTCTACAATCAGCATTTGGTCCACAATTGCAGGGATTTTTACATATGGCATTAATGCAGGCTCTGTCTGAAGGACAATCTGAGTCAGAAATACATTCTCCTATGGCGACCACTGGTGGAGTTGCCTTGCATACACCACTGCCGCTACTTATATATCCTGGAGGACATTCACATATCATTGTTCTGACTGGTAATGTTTTAATTGCTTCACAAAGAGCAGGTTTTTGACATGGTTCCATCTCTTGACATGGATCTTTGCACTGTTGGTTGAAGCAAGCATAAAATGAGGGACAATCCCCATCAACTCTACATTCTGGTTCTACCTTGAGTCTACAAGATGTATAGGGGTTTCCTTCATATGCTGGTGGACAACGGCATAATGGAAGGTGGTTCTGGACAAAACATTTAGCTCTCGCAGCACAAGGCTGGTCATATATACATGGATTTATACATTGTGCATTTATGCAAGCTCGATCATTTGGACAGTCAGAATTGGAGCGACATCCAACAACAAGGCAACGATCATATGGATTTCCTCTGTAACCACTAAGGCAACGGCATTCTGGTCTAGTTCCAACTGGATAGCATTCAGCATTTGGCCCGCATGGGTCTTCTACCACACAAGGGTTGATGCAATTTCCATTTATACAAGCCTTTCCTGATCCACATTCTGAATCGATTCGGCATCCAACTGAAAGAAAAGAAGATTAAATTATTTAAAATATTTTGTTAGTAGAAATACATAATAATATAATGAAGGTTTTGAATATTTTTTTTTTTAAAGACAAACCTGCTCTGCATCCAACGTCTGGATTCCCATCATATCCAGGTATGCAAGAACATATAGGCCTGTGGTTCATAATCATACATTCAGCATTCGGACCACAGTTGCAAGGGTTTCGACACATTCTATTTATGCAAGTTTCATTAGAGGAACATTCATTATCAGAAACACAGCCAGGTGGCGATGGTACTATCACTAAAAAATTTAACAAATTTTCACAAAAAGAACAGCAAAATAATAAGTGATTATTTATAATTTACTAATTTCTTACCTGGCTTGCATTCACCATCATTATCTGGGACCCAACCTTCCGGACAGGTACATACCATTGTTCTTACAGGTGTGGAATCAAAAACACTACACATAGAAGAGGGTGTGCAAGGTGATAGTTCGACACAAGGATTCAAGCACTTATTGTTTATACAGGCCAGTTGACTTGGACACTCGACATCTTTCTCACATTCAACAGTAGGAACAGAAACTGGTGGAACTCTTTGACAATATGAAAGAGGATCTCCTAGAGGCATCCAGTCTGGGCACCTACAGCTGGCCTGATGATTTCGAACATAGCAGATGGCATTATGGGCGCATGTTGGATTAATCTGATCTTGACAGGGATTAATGCAGTGATGATCTCTACATAATCTGTCCTCACTGCAGTCACTATCCACAGAGCATTCTATCCTTTCACACCGAACGAGTGGATTTCCTCTGTAGCCAACATTACATTTACATTGTGCAGCATGTTTGGCACCATAACACTCTGCATTTATTCCACAAGGATCACCAAGGATGCATGGATTTATACATTCACTATTGTAGCAGGTTTTATCATCACTGCATTGACTTTCTGATTCACATCCAACTGTTAAAATAAACAAAAATATTAACAAATCTGTTCAATTTCAAATGTTAACATAATCCAATATATTTGTGACATGTCTATACAAACGCTTTACCCAACTATTTCCTCATTGATTTACATTAATAAAAAAACTAATATTGTCTAAAATGCTCTCCACAACCTGATTAAATAAGTATGTTATCTACATGTTTTCAATTTGTTCAAGTAACATAAAGTACAAAGTTGTAAAACATGGTAACTAACGAAATGAAAACTATCACAATGTTAAATTGCTTGTTAGTTGCAATGTTATAACTTCAACTAGCAGCCAAATTTTAATACTAATATTATTCTTCAAAGAAATTAAGTCCCTACACATTATTTTAACAACCTATGAAATCAGCCATGAGGAATCTGATATTACTAAAAACATCAATCCACAAATTATGATAGATACCATCTTTTATGACTGAATGTCTCATATAGTAAAACTATTCCAATATTTAATGTGTCCAAATATCTGTAGAAGCCATATTTCAAGGCAAATAAAATATTATTAAAGTTATATATAAAATAAAACTAACCTTTAATGCAACCAATTTGTGGATTACCAGAATAACCAGGCTTGCAATAGCATGTTGGGTAATGATTGGTCACCTTACATTCTGCATTAGTTCCACAGTTGCATGGACTTATACATAGTTTATTAACACAAGCTTCTCGAGGTGTACAGTCAGAATTTGATGAACAACCAACTGTTGATTCAGCAGCTGTTGAAATATGTATTTATCATTAGTTCCATATCGTATAAAGTTTTAGCCATCAAAGAATAGATTTTTAGGTTAGATTTCAAATTTTCAATACGGTAATCTCTAATATGCCTAAAATGTAGCTATATTAAGTTGAAATAATAATCAATTTAAAATGAATTTATTCTTACGAGGTATGCATTGGGTTAGCGGATTTCCCTGGAATCCAGCCGGGCAACGACATACAGGTTGGTGATCATCAGTATGGCAGAAAGCACCTGGAGCACATGGTGAATCATGGGTACATGGGTTGACACATAGTTGGTTCTTACATCTTTTATTAGCAGGGCAGTCGTCATTATGACTGCATTCTGGTACTGGCTGATAAGATGGAACACTCACAGCGTGGTCTGTAAAAGGAAAAGTTAAATCAATATATTCAAATAATAATCCCTTTTGAGATTTAAGGATTAAAAATAAGAACACAAAGTAACATAATTTTTAATCATTACCTGGATTACACTCAATATGTGGATTGCCAATATATCCTCTTGGACAAGTGCAAACAGACTGGTGGCGTGTGGATTGGCAAAGAGCATTGAGACCACATGGATCGATACGACATGCTTCAACACATGATCCACGTACACAACGCTCTAAATCACGACATTCAGAATCTGCTTGGCATTCTTCAGTAGTTTTAACTGAAAATTTTTATTTACAATCATCATTTATAAGAAAGAAAAATCATGATTTTATTAAGAAACATGAACGTAGAAGTAATTTTGATTACTTCTTGTTTTGAAACTTATTATATATTATTGACTTTTAATCACATAGTTATTATTTGATTATTCTGTTAACAATATTTCTATTAGTATAAGAGTTATTAGTTTCTTCTTTTTTTTTTTTTTTTTTTGGAATATATAAATGTATTAACATGATGTATTATTAAAATATTTAGTTTAATACCATTTGAATGTTAGTTATACAAAGTTATCATACGTACTTATTGGGCGACAGTGACCATCAATTGAAGCAATTGTGTCAGGTGGACAGACGCACAAGACTGTTCTCATGGGTAGAGTGTCCTGAACACGGCATTCTTGATCAAACGCACACACAGCTGGTAGTGAGCATGGATCCTGGCATTTCCTGTTGATACAACCAGTCTTCGAAGGGCAGTCAGAATCTTGGATGCACTCGGCATGGGCTCGATAATCAACTAGGAAGAGAACATAGAGCATGAATTCTTGATATAGAACTCATTAATAATGAGCCAATTCTTGAAAATTAATAATAAAAATTAATCTGAATTAATAAGTAAATCTTAGTACCTAACATTATGATTTCGTTATATTGGTCTGAATAAAATAAATCTGCTTTATAATATTTTTCAAATAATTTGTATGTCAATTTAGTCATTGCAAAATAATATTGCTTAACTGGAATTGAGATTTATGAGGAAAAGGCACTATTAGTAAAATTTAATATATTGTTGATCTCAATATGAAACTACCATTTTTTTTTTATCACTAAGTACTGATAACATATTATTAAGAAGACAAAATAGTCAATTGTTGATATCACTGTAAGAAGTAAAAAAAAAAGTGTTATTACTTACCTGTGCATTCAACATATGGGTCGCCTTGGGTTCCTGGCTCACAAATACATTTGTGTTGATGGCTACGTGCTATACATGTTGCTCGTGTTCCACAAACATCAGATTCACAAACTGGACGACAAACTCGATTCAGTCTGTCACATGCTTCATGATCAGCACAATCCTCATTGTATTGGCAAACAACTGTGACACAAGAAACGTGAGGGTCACCCTGAGTCCCCAGTGGGCAAACACACTGTGCACTATGTGATACTGCTCTACATTCAGCACCACGACCACAAGACGATTCACGACAAGGTGATAAGCAGTTACCTGATATACAGGCTTTGTCATATAAACAATCAGAATCTATTCTGCATTCAGCTGTAAATCAAAGTAACAAATATTTAAAAAGTGTTAATTATTAAATTAACAATTATATTTGAATTTAAAAAAATAAATTAAATTTCTGGCAATCAAAAAAATAAATAAATCTGTGAGTCCATCATTGAACTGTAAATGATGAGAGGTATGCATCCATAGTAAAATTGATAGTAATAAGTGTGATATTTACGTTTGTAACAGTGACTTTGAGGATCACCAGCCCACCCTTGAGGACATGTGCAGGTCGGCCTATGTTGGAGTGTTGTACACTCTGCAGTAGAACTGCAAGGGTTAGATGTCACACATGGGTTCTGGCAACGTTGATTTATACAAGCTAACTGGGAAGCACATTCTGAGTCAGATTTACATTCAGGCGATGTGTCAAGAGCTGAAATTCAAAATTGATTGATATATTATTGAAAACAAACCATTCATTTATTATGTTTTATATTCAAACATACGTTTGTAACAGTTGGTATATGGATTTCCAGCAAGTCCTTCAGGACAGTGACAAGTGACTTTGTGGTTATCAGGACGACATTCTGCATTATTTCCACACGGAGATGAAACCAAACATGGATTAACACATTCACGGTTGATACATGATTCAGTATCAGAACATTGAGAATCAGATGAACATTGAGGTTTAGTGCTTTCTTCTGTAATTCATAAAGAAATAGTTAGAAAATGGAGTATGTTTCACAAGTAATGCTTGAGAAAAATTTATTCTAAAACTAAATATAAATAAGATCATTAGTTGTGTTGCTGTAATTCTACAGGTTAATATTATTATAGGATTAAGGGTAATGTCATTTAGGTGATAGTGAAGCTTAGCTGCTGTTTTAAACCTGCAATCATAAAAATAAATATAGAAAAAACAAAAGATATGAATGTATTTTATCAAGTATTTCCCTAAATTCGTAACCATTAATGTACTGATAGTTTTACCTAGTTTACACTGAACATCAGCATCGCCAATATACCCTGGCAAGCAGTGACATGACATAGTTCTTAGAGGCAGGGTGTCGACCACTCTACATTCAGCATTAGTTCCACATGGGTTTGTTTCAGTGCACGGGTTTTTGCATTCACCGCTGAAGCAAGCTAGTTTACTTGCACAGTCAGCATCCATTTGACACTTTGTAGTGTCAACAATAGGGGCTAAAACACAAATTATTATGGTTATCTTTAGTCCTATTAATAGTTATTATAAGCCATCTATTAACAGAATAAACTTGTTTATGAGATAGAAAATACTTGTAATAAAATATTTGTAAACAGTTTAAAATTACTTCTTTGAATAGGATAGTATTAGAAAGGAACTGAGCGAAGTTAAAAAGTATCTGATCTTTGACTAAGCTGAGATTTAAATAGATATTCTCACTAAAAAAAATTCTTTATTTTGTCTTAGGAGAATAGGACGTTACAGAAGCCTAACACAAATCGCTACTGTTAGTGCAAAAGGTCATATGTAACAATTGTACATGTTTATTCTGTTTGTTCTAAAGGTGACATTTTGTAGTCTGCAACTGCAATAAGTAGTCAGCTACTATGAAAAATAGCAGAAGGAAATAAAATACAAAATTATACTAATAAATCATATAGAAATAATCAGTTTTTGTGCTCATATGTAAACAAACTTTCTTTACATACGACTTTTTGCACTAACAGTAGCAATATGTAATTAAATGAACAATTGTATAATTTGTAAAATGGGGGTTGGTCCGCCATTAGGCTTACGGGGTATTCTCCTAGTTAAAATAATTGGGAAGTAGGAAGCACCAATAATCTTATTCTAGCCATAAATGTTAGTTACAACTTTATCATACCAAGGTAGTGAAATAATAGATACTGTTAAACAAATCACAATTATTTTTGCTCATTTTTCAAATGTTTTAAAAGATAAATTAGAGTCGTAGATTGATAATACCTATGGTACAAGATTGGTGTGGATTTCCTGAATAGCCAGGGGGACATCTGCAGGTAGGCTGATGTCCAGCAACAGTACATATAGCACCTGGAGCACAATCACATGGATCAACACACTTGAGGTTTCTACAAGCTAGTTGAGATGGGCAGTCTACATCCTGTGTACACTGTGGTGTTTCACAACTGATAAATGGGTTGCCAAGAGACCCCGGAGGACATATACATCTTCCTTTTCCTCCCTCTGGTTCACAATATGCACCAATTCCACACTTTGCTAGTCTGCATGGGTCCATACATTGCTTATTGACACAAGATTCAGTTACTGGACATTCTGAGTCAGTTCGGCAGCCAACTAAAAGATTGTTTATTAAGTTTTAAAATATTAATGAAGACTATTTATCTATCATATTATGGTATTTTAGTCACAATCATAGTAATCATAGTCATATCATCATCATAGTCATAATCATGGTATTATTATAATGAAGACAATTGCATAATCTTAATTTACAATATTAAAAAATGGCAATAAAATTTTATCTTAAATAAAAAATTCATAAATGAAATATGAATTGTTTCAGTTTTTACTAGGAAATCAAAGTAAAAATATGAATATGAATCTAGAAGAAGTTTTATTACAGTTGTACAACATAGATAGTAAACAAGTTATTTCTTACTGTCATAACATTGGGTATGAGCGTTTCCTGAAAGTCCATCTCGACAAACACAAATAGGACGATGCATAATGACACTACATACAGCGTTGTAAGCACATACGCTTGTTGTTGCAGCTTGACAAGGATCTTTGCACATTTGATTTATACAGGCTTTGTCGTTTCTGCATTGATGGTCAGTAGTACATTCAGGTGGAGGAGGTGCAGCTGAAGAATATATATATTTTTTTATTTCATTATGTCAATAAAAACACTATTAAAGTACCATAAATTGAAGAAAAAAAAATTACGTTGAAAAAGTTGGCAAGAAAGTCTCGGCTCGCCTGTATAGTCAGGAGGACAAGAGCATACAGCTTTGTGGTTGACTGCTTGACATATTGCGTTAATACCACAAGCATCAATACATGGATCTTGACATTTCTGTGCATAGCAAGCTTTATCTCTGGGGCAGTCTTGGTTTATGACGCATTCGGGATAGACACAGGTCGCAATTCCATTCTGAACACGACATTGGCCATTGACTCCACATGGTGATGGATTACATGGATCTTTTGGTGGTGCTGAAAAAATTAAAAAGAATATTTAATAAACATGAATTTATGAATTAAATTTACATCTATTATTTCAGTTGCTAAAAATTCTAAAACGTAGAAAGATATTTTTCCTTGAGAGGAGTGTAATATATTCAATAAAACTGGCAGAACTGCCACAAGAAGTTAAGTTAATCGTTATTCACACTATAAACAATAAAAAAATAGTTTTTTTATATCTCGATGTGGTTTTCCAGGATGCCAGTTGCTCCCTCAGAGGTTTGTTCCCTGGATGATATGCCAGGGAAAGAAATATAAACCCTTATAGGTCTGCTGATTCTGAGCAGCCATAATCCATGGATCTATTGTCCATATTGTTGACCCACATAATTTGGTGGAAAGAACACTGCCAGATTGGCCCCAAATGGATCAGTTATGGAGCTATAGGTGCCTTGCTGCTGCATCACGGTGGTCATGATTCTTATCAATATGAGGCTGGGTGATCCCCTCCAGATTATCCGCGCTCCTACATCACCCAGCCAAAGACCTAAATAGTATATACTGGTGATAAAAAAAAAATATATATATCTACCTACATCTCTCTCTCTCTCTCTCTCTCTCTCTCTCTATATATATATATATATATATATATATATATATATATATATATATTGTAACGTACCCAAAAGCCACGCTCGTTGGACGCCATGTTGTAACGTTCCCTTTGTCAACCAAAACAAACAAACGAGTTTACTTATTGAAATATTATTTATTTTGACACATAACATTAATCTCAGGTTGGGTTCTGACAACTGAACACTCATTCAACATTTAATAACTATAATTTACTAATTACTAAATACATATAAAGAAACGAGATACATACATTAAGAAATTATACATTCAAAAACCTTGATTGTCCCAGTCTAAACTTTGTGGCTCTTTCTATTTTCTCAACTTGCTGGCTAGTACCTTCTCTCTTGACAGCTTGTCACATTTTCTCTTGGCGGCTCATAATCTTCTCTCTTGGCCGCTAGCACCTTCCCTCTTGGCGGCCCGTCGCAGTCTAAATTACATGAGGCTTGCTTTCCCCACTTCCTACCTGTAGTTCATGCTCTTGCCACTTTCGCGCCACTATTTATATACCATGTAATGTTGACATTACAATATATATATATATAGAGAGAGAGATATGTATGTATATATATATATATTCATTTGGAACCTTTAACCCTCTTGAATTAAATAAGCTGAAATTCAGTAGTTATTTTCGAGGCAAAACAATATCATAAAACTTTGAATAAATTTCAGCCTGTTCAAGCAGTTTTTCCAGGGTTTTAAATTTATTCCCACTTCTACAGTCTGTCCTAATAAAGTAAGATGGTTGAAATTTTGTATGTAAATTAGGTTGGTGTTAGGGAAGTAACTTTAAAGGGTTTCAACTTTTTTTCCACCTTCACTATTTTTTATACCAATTTTGTACTTTATTGTTATACGCACACCTATAGCCTTTCTAAATAGAGTTAGAAAGTTGAAAAATTATAAGTGAATTAAACCAGGGTTGAAGTACTTTTTGTGTGTCATCAACTTTTTTTCCTATCGTCACCATTTTAATAAATTAAATTTGGAAAGAAATTATAAAAGATTCAAAAACAATAGCAAAAATAGCAAGAAATCCAGTAGTTCGATTGATTTTGAAATTCTATTTAATTTACTCAGGATATCATTAGCTAAACAATACAAATTTTATGTATTGAAAAATGTCATGAATTAAATGTGTTTAATTTCAGTTATCTAGAAGATCCTGCTGCTTCAATTTTTAAATAGCTATTCATTTATTATATAGCCACACAATGGACCCAGTATTAGATCTTAAAGTTAGGAAAGTTTTAATCAGATCTCCTGGAAAACAAACCAACAGAACCTTCTTTGATACAGACACATTCGTAAATGGAAAACAAAAGTCTATTAATCGATTAATTCAAACTTTCTTATTTTATAACAGCAGTCTTCTAATGTTTTTCTTATAATTTTAAATAAATTTGTCTTTGAATTGAATAAGCTATTACAGATAATGCCAGAAAGTGTAATTACTAAAAACTAAGAAATAAATCCATTCCATAGCAAAAATTGAGACATATTTTTATCTTTCTGTTTTGATATATGTTTATCTGGTGTATAAATATGAAACTGGAATTCATCCATAGAAGACTCTAGTTTGTAATCTAGTTACTGATAAATTGCAGTAGACCTATTTTGTTTCTTCGACAGCCGGCAAAGGTTTTTAACACTACAATTTATTTGCATCAACACTGAATGCCACAATAGAATGCAAAAGACCACGTGGAAGGCCAAAAAGTAGATAAATAGAATCAACAAAGATGCAGATAATGAATGAATGATGAACATCAATAGAGCTGAGTGCAGATAACTGAAAAGAAATAGCCCAAGATAGGCAGAGATGGAGCAGGCTTGTTAAGGTGGCCTTTCTATAATTCCAACAGAAAAAAAAAATGTATGCAATGAACATGCATTTTCTATACAAAAATTCTTATTTCATATTTACATAGCATACTGTGTGTGTGGTAAAAAATAGGTAAATAAAAAAATCAATGTTGTTTTTTGTAACGATTTAGAGAAAAATCTAAATCTGTTAATTATTTTACTTTTTCACTAATAGATATATATTTAAAAAAATAAATTTTTTTTAAATCTGAAAATATAAGTTAATATTTTTAAATATTCATGTATAGCTACATACAATATTAAAAAAATATAAATTATAAATTAATATTACTTACACTAGATTATTATAGGTTATTAATATTAGTATTGTTGCAGATTGTCATTATTCTTGTAATTAAAATCTTTTAATCAGTAAATTAATTAGCGGTTCCATCCGTGGGTACTGTTTCTGATAAGAAATAGTATTTTTGTGTGGTTGAGTTGCGGAAAAAAAATCGACCATGGAAGCTATACTCATAGCTATATTTTAAAAAATTAGAAACTATTTAATCAAATTAATTAAAAAATAATCTTTACCTGGTGCCTCTCTGCATTCGGAGAATGGATCACCAACATAATTTGGAGGGCAGGAGCAAATAGGTGAGTGGTTAAGAACTTGGCATCTAGCTTGGAAGCCACATACTCCAGGACATGGATCTATGCACTTGTTGGAAACACATGCTCTGTTGCGAGGACAATCAGAGCTAATAGTACATTCAGGTTTACACCCATCAGTAGGTGTCCCACTGAACCCAGGTAGACATTCGCAGAGGGCTATACCATTAGAATTTGTGCAGCGTGCATTGGGGCCACATGGTGAGTACCAGCAGGGGTCATCCTTGGGTTCTGTAACCAATAGTTTGTTATTATTAATGAAATGTTTAAGTAAACCATGCACAATTCAAAAGAAACATGTTTTACAAAGTTATGTATCTGATAATTGTGAAATTTTTGCCATAATTTCACAATTCGAATACACACTTTCTTTCTCCATTACTTGCTTAATAATTGGCAGAAATCGCTATCAAACATATTAATAGAATTTGCACTAATTTGTGAGTCATCAAGCTATTGGATAAGAAGTTTTCATTTGAGTTCACAAAAATAAATTATGGCAAAATATTAAATAATTACCTCTTCTTATAATCTTCTTTAAAAGTAATAATCGTCATGTATGTACAAAAAAAAAGCTTTTGGGCTGAAGCCTTCTCCAAAATTAAATAATGGATTTGTTAATAGTGGTAATGGGTTTATCTAGTATGTGAGACCATGATATAATTCTTGTTTACTGAAATCATGCTAAGGGATGACTTATTAATTCTTGACTACAATACATGGAATGGTAGTTACTTTGGCAAATTTATTTATTGATATATTTGAAATAATCTAATTTACTCCAATCAGAGCAGGAATTCATAGGATTTTAATTTATAATGTTTTTATAAAAAATTAAATTTTCCATTTTAAATAAAGTCTAATCTTGTAGAGCATGGGAAACTGTAATCAATTATTAAAATAATATACAGTAATTAGGCGTTAGAAAAAAATCTTATGGAAAGAATACAGTATGATTTTTAAAATATAAAGATTTTCTTGAACTGTCGGATGAACTATTGAATAAAAAAACAGAACATAAAGTAGATATATCAAATAATAAATAAAAATTCAATTTAAATTAAATTGTATTACACTATTAGTCCACACTACAGACCCATTTTTTATCAAATTATTAACATTTGTCTAAAACTTCCTGAATGGCTTCTGAAAATTCTCCGAAATGGGGCATTTCAATATTTAGTACACTTTGTCTATTTAATGAGATACTAAAAACTCATGAACAACCATTTGTTTTCCACTGGAATCGTAGAATAATTTGATCACACAATCAATAAAAAAAGTGGTCTACAAAAATATCAGGTCATTTGGTGTGACCTCCACTCCCGACATGTCAAAGTAATGAGGTTCTATAATAGGCCAAATTTTTGTAGGTTGGCTTTTTTCTCAATTTTCTGATCATATTATCTTACGATTCAAGTGGAAAAACAAATTGTATCATGAGTTTTTTAGTGCCTCAGTAACAGAAATAAAAATTGTTGATAAATTTTGATTTTGCTATCCCAAAATTAGTTGCAGAATCACGGTCCTTAGACACAAGAAAGAATTCATAGTTAAATTAAATGGAAAACAATAATTTGAATATTTTTAGAAACTAGACTCCTTATATGAGAAAAAAAAAAGATCTGCAGCAAGCTAAAAACCTGATTTATCTTTTAAATAGAAATTTATTTCTGCAGAAAAATTAAGAAGACTGACCTTTTTGAGGTATCTGCTCACATCTTGTAAAGGCATCTCCTGTGTATCCTGGAGGGCAGCTGCATATTGGAATATGATTAGAGACAGTACAAACAGCTGAAAGACCACAGGTGCCCGGGCAAGGGTCGAGACACTTGTTCTTTAAACAGGCTTTGTTTGTAGGGCAGTCTGAACTTACAACACACTCAGGTCTGCAACCTTCATATGGGTTTCCTTGGTATTCAGGTAAGCATTCACAGACTGCATAGGATCTATTTTCTATACGACACTGGGCATTTGAACCACAAGGAGACGGGTCGCATGGGTTAAGTGGTGTTGGAGGCTTGGTCGGTTCAGCTATTAAAGGAATAAAATATTATATTAATTGACTGTAATAGTGATATTTCATGCAAACATGCTACAAAATGCATTTAAAAATGAAAAATATGATCATGCAAATCATGCCAAAAACAAAATCTTCATGCAACATATACAACTAGCATTATTATTTAGAATTATACACATTCTTAGTAATGTCTGAATTGATTCTGTAGAAAAATGAGAACAAATATAAACAGACGAATGACAATATTAAAATTAAAAAATGTGATAGAAATTTCTTACTAGGTCTAGTATAACAATTTGTAAAAGGATCTCCAATGAAGCCTGAAGGACAGAAACAATTAGGAGTATGAGAAACTACCCGACATTCGGCATTTGAGCCACAAGATCCAGGACAAGGATCAATGCATCGTTGATTGATGCATGCTTTGTCATTAGAGCATTCACTGTTTGAAATACATTCTGGTCTGCAATTTGGAGGAGTTCCAATATAATCCGGTAAACAACTACATGATGGACTGCCATTCTGTTGCCTACAAGCTGAATATGGACCACATGGTGACGGAATGCAAGGATTCTCATTTACAATTGGTTTGGGTAGATTTTCAGCTGAAAATTTAAATATCATTAAATACCATATATACTACAATGCTGTCTTTAAGAATTGAATTGAATCATTGACCGATAAAACTTACGAATAGGATAACATCTAGTAAAAGCATCCCCTGTGTAATGGACGGGACATTTACATATAGGATTATGATTTATAACAACACATTCAGCATTAAGACCACAACTTCCTGGACAAGGATCCATACAGTGCAAATTTGTACAGGCTTTATCTAATGAACAGTCAGAATTAACCACACATTCAGGTCTACAAGATGGTGGTGAACCCAAATATCCTGACAAGCATGCACAAATTGCTTGATTGTTAAGTTCTCGACAAACACTATTTGGACCACATGGAGAAGGTGTGCAAGGTTGAGTAGCAATGTCCTCTGTAAAGGAAAGGATAATTTAATAATCATTTAACATGTAGAGAAAAATAAAACTAACAAAAATAAAGTTAGAAAATAGTGTTTACCTTCAGCTGGTAAACATTGAATAAAAGGGTTTCCTTTCATTTTTTCAGGGCATTTACATATTGGAATGTGGTTAATTACTTCACATAAAGCATTGTTTCCACAAGTTCCAGGGCATGGGTCAGTGCATTTATTTCTGATACAAGCTTTGTTTCGTGGACATTCATTATTTAAAACACATTCCGGTCTACATCCAGTGTAAGGATCACCTTGGTATTCTGGTAGACATGTACAAACCCCATCAGCACATTGAGTATTAGATCCACATGGTGAAGGATTACATGGATCAGTAGCAACTGGGTCTGGTTCTAAAAGTAGAAGAGTAAGACCAATTTAAAATAAAATTCATTATATGCAAGGATAATAACAAACCAAAAATAAATATTGCTTTCTTACTTGGTGGGGGTTTCGGAACACAATTGGTAAATGGATCACCAGTATAACCGTCCGGACAAGTACAAACAGGAATGTGACTGAAAACATTGCAAACTGCTCCTATTCCACATGAACCTGGGCATGGGTCTCTACATTTTTCGCGGATACAAGCTAAGTTGCTGGCACATTCAGCATTTATACTGCACTCAGGTCTGCAGTTAGGGGGCGCTCCTGTATAATCTGGCAAACATGAGCATGAAGCAGTTCCACCACTATCTCTGCACTGAGCATAAGGACCACACGGTGATGGTACACAAGGATTTACTGGTTTTGGAGCCAATGTAGGTTCTGGTAAAGCTACAACATAAATTAATAGGATTTAATATCACATTTTTTTGGATTAAAGATGTATATGTTTCTGAAGAAGTTCTTACAAGGCACATGATAACATCTGGAAAATGGATCCCCTGTGTGACCAGCTTGACAAGAGCAAATAGGACTGTGATTAATTACTTGACAGCGAGCATTCTGTCCACATGTTCCAGGACAAGGATCATTACATTTTTGATTTATACAAGCTTTGTCTGATGTACATTCTGAACTAACAACACATTCTGGGCGGCATCCTGGTGGTGACCCAACATATTGTGGCAAACAAGAACATATTGCTTGGTCATTATTCACTTTGCATTGGCTGTTAGGGCCACAGGGTGATGGGTTACAAGGATCCGTAGGTGATGCTTCAGCTAAAAAATTCATGTTAATTTATCAATAAATTACTGGTTGATAACATAAGACCAATAAGAATCACATTAAAGATGAACATTTTATTGGAACTTTTTTTTAATTTGAAAATTATTATTTCTTACGTTTTTGAGGAGTTGGATTACAGTATTTAAAGGGATCTCCAGTATATCCAGTGTAGCAAGTGCATGATGGAAGATGATTGACTACTTGGCACTCTGCATTCTGCCCACAGGTACCAGGACAAGGATCTTGGCACATATTTCTAATACAAGCTTTATTTGAAGGACAATCACTGTTTAGAACACATTCTGGCCTGCAACCTTCATAAGGGTTTCCTATGTATTCTGGCAAACAAGTACAGGATCCAGCACCGTTTTGTTCTCTACATAGTGCATTAGCTCCACAAGGAGAAGGTTGGCATGGGGTTATTACTTCTTGAACTGGTTCAGCTACAAATAAGTAGCAAAATCATTTGTTACTTGCTAATTTGTGTATCAAAATGTCAATTGTATTTAAATACAATTCATATATTGATATTTTTATAGAGCTTATAAATCAGTAACACGTGACTTACATTGAACTGGAGTACATTGTATGAATGGATCACCAGTAAATCCTGTTGAACAAATGCATTGTGGAATGTGGCTTACAACTCTACATTCAGCATTGGCGCCACAGGTATTCGGACATGGGTCTTTACATTTCTGATTGATACATGCGAGATGGCTTGAGCATTCTCCATTGCTTATGCATTCAGGTCGACAATTAGGTGGAATACCCAAAAATTCAGGTAAACATGAGCATGAGGGACTTGCTCCTGACTCCTTACATTGAGAATTGGGGCCACAAGGTGATGGTATGCATGGATTTTCCACCGGTTTTTCTGGTATCACTTCAACTAAAATGCAAATAAATGACAGCTCAGTATTGTGTAAATTTCAACAATTATTAATATTACGGTTTAAAATTGGATTCTTACTTATTGGCTGACATCGCACAAATGGATCTCCAGTAAATCTTATAGGACAGCTGCATATTGGATTGTGATTAATAACTTCACACCTAGCTCCTATTCCACAAGTTCCAAGGCAAGGATCTCTACATTTCTGATTGTTACATGCTTCATTTCTATCACAATCAGAATTTACAACACATTCTGGCCTACAACTAGGTGGAGTTCCATGATAACCAACTAAACATGAACATACTGATTGATCATTAATCGCTCGACACTGACTATAAGGACCACAAGGTGATGGACGGCAGGGTGTAGTTTCAATGGAAACTGAAATAATACACTTAAAATAAGTTTTGAGTTAAAAAAAAATTATATTATAAAATGAGTTATAGTTGATAATTTTGATTAAATGAGATAATGTAGTAATACTTTGAAAACTAACCTACTATTGGTTGGCAAGAAATAAAAGGATTCCCTGTTTTTCCTTCTTGACATCTACAAACAGGTATATGATTTACAACTTCACAAATAGCATCTTGTCCACAGGTTCCTGGACAAGGATCTTTGCATTTGTTATTAATACAAGCTAATGTTTTAGGGCATTCAGAACTCAAAACACACTCAGGCCTACATCCAATATATGGATCCCCCTGATATTCTGGTAAACAAGTGCATAAACCATTATCACATAGTGCATTAGAACCACATGGTGATGGATTGCATGGATCTTCATTAATAGGTACTGGTGCTATAATAGAAATAACTTTTAGAAATACTGAAGATTGAATTAACAGGATATTATGTTGTAGTTTACAACAAAATATTCTTACGTGGAGGTGGTTTAGGATGACAGTTTGTAAATGGATCTCCTGTATATCCTTCTTGACAAATGCATATTGGTATGTGATTCCTGACACTACATGTTGCACCTAAACCACATGAACCTGGACATGGATCGCGGCATTTTTCCCTGAGACAAGCAAAAACACTGGGACATTCACTATTTATTGTGCATTCAGGTCGACAATTAGGAGGTGAACCTGTGTAATCTGGTAAGCAAGAACAAGATGGAGAATCTCCAATACTCTGGCACTGTGAATAAGGGCCACATGGTGATGGGATACATGGATTAACAGGTTCTTTTGGTGGAGGAGGAAGTACTGAAAAAAATATGATAAATTAGTCAGCATTGTGATTCTTTAGCCATTAAAAAAATCAAAAATTCAAAGAAAATAGCTTACATAGAACTTGGTGACAAGATGAAAAAGGATCTCCAGTAAAGCCAGATAAACAGGAGCAGATAGGACTATGATTAATCACTTGACATTGTGAATTTCTTCCACATGTGCCTGGACATGGATCACTACATTTCTGATTTAGGCATGCTCTATTTGATGGGCACTCAGAGCTCACTACACACTCAGGTCTACATCCTGGTGGAGAACCAATGTATTCTGGTAGGCAAGAACATATGGCTTGCTTATTATTTACTTTGCATTGACTATTTGCACCACATGGAGATGGATTGCAAGGATCTATAGATGGCTCTTCAATACCTTGATCAATAAAAAATAGAAAGATTTTAATATAGTGAACTAACTTTTAAGCTTAATATTAAAAAAGTAAAATGTGTCATTTAATTACTTGGTAGAATAACATTGCAGTATTTGAAGGGGTCGCCTGTATAACCAGTGTTGCAAGAACAAAGAGGTAGATGGCTGACAACTTGGCACACAGCATTCTGCCCACAAGTACCTGGGCAAAGGTCCTGACACTTATTCCTAATGCAAGCTCTATTTGAAGGACAATCAGTGTTAACAACACATTCTGGTCGGCATCCCTCATAAGGATTACCAATATATTCTGGCAAGCAAGTACAAGAACCAGCACCATTCTGTTCTCTACAGATTGCATTTGCTCCACAAGGAGATGGTTGGCATGGTCTTGCTATATCTATGACTGTTTCTGCAATTGGAGAAGAAATATGTTTTAAATAATTCCGAATAATAATGTCTTGTAAAATTTAGTCTAGGATAACTTACGTTGAATTATTGTGCAATGAATAAAAGGATCCCCAGTGTAACCATTAGAACAGAAACATTGTGGAGTGTGGCTAATTACTCGACAATCAGCATTTGTGCCACATGTGTTAGGACAAGGATCTTTACATTTCTGATTGATGCATGCCAGATTGCTTGCACATTCTCCATTACTGACACATTCGGGTCTACAATTGGGAGGTAATCCCTTAAATTCTGGTAAACATGAACAAGATGGATTATTGCCTGATATTTTACATTGTGAATGAGGACCACATGGTGATGGAATGCAGGGATTTTCAGGCACTGGAGGTACTGATGGTGTTTCAACTATGTAAAACAAATACAGGTTATCATTTTAATTATGCATAGATATAATGTACAAATCAAAGGGGACAACTGATATAAATTAAAAAACTTACGAATAAGTTGACATTGGATAAACGGATCTCCAGTAAAATGAGGAGGACAACTGCATATAGGATTATGATTAACAACTTCACATCTTGCTCCGATTCCACATGTTCCAGTACATGGATTTCTGCATTTCTGATTGTTACAAGCTTCATTTCTACCACAATCAGAATTTACAACACATTCTGGCCTGCAACTAGGTGGCATACCTTTATACCCTTCTAAACAAGAGCAGACAGATTGTCCATTTACAGCTCGGCATTGACTATTAGGTCCACATGGAGAAGGTTGACATGGAGTTGATTCAACTGGGACTAAAATTTAATGTAAGTTAGAGTTGATCTGTAGTGCATAAAAAATCATTCATAGCTAATTAACTAGTTCTGACCTGTAACTGGTTTACACTGAATAAACGGATTCCCAGACATTCCAGGAGGACAAGAACAAATTGGAATATGATTCAAGACATCACAGCGAGCATCTTGTCCGCATGTTCCAGGGCAAGGGTCAGTACATTTATTTCTGATACAAGCTTTATTTCGTGGACATTCATTATTTAAAACACATTCCGGTCTACATCCAGTGTAAGGATCTCCTTGGTATTCTGGGAGACATGTACAAACCCCATCAGCACATTGAGTATTAGATCCACATGGTGAAGGATTACATGGATCAGTAGCAACTGGGTCTGGTTCTAAAAGTAGAAGAGTAAGACCAATTTAAAATAAAATTCATTATATGCGAGGATAATAACAAACCAAAAATAAATATTGCTTTCTTACTTGGTGGGGGTTTCGGAACACAATTGGTAAATGGATCACCAGTATAACCGTCCGGACAAGTACAAACAGGAATGTGACTGAAAACATTGCAAACTGCTCCTATTCCACATGAACCTGGGCATGGGTCTCTACATTTTTCGCGGATACAAGCTAAGTTGCTGGCACATTCAGCATTTATACTGCACTCAGGTCTGCAGTTAGGGGGCGCTCCTGTATAATCTGGCAAACATGAGCATGAAGCAGTTCCACCACTATCTCTGCACTGAGCATAAGGACCACACGGTGATGGTACACAAGGATTTACTGGTTTTGGAGCCAATGTAGGTTCTGGTAAAGCTACAACATAAATTAATAGGATTTAATATCACATTTTTTTGGATTAAAAATGTATATGTTTCTGAAGAAGTTCTTACAAGGCACAGGATAACATCTGGAAAATGGATCCCCTGTGTGACCAGCTTGACAAGAGCATATAGGACTGTGATTAATTACTTGACAGCGAGCATTCTGTCCACATGTTCCAGGACAAGGATCATTACATTTTTGATTTATACAAGCTTTGTCTGATGTACATTCTGAACTAACAACACATTCTGGGCGGCATCCTGGTGGTGACCCAACATATTGTGGCAAACAAGAACATATTGCTTGGTCATTATTCACTTTGCATTGGCTGTTAGGGCCACAGGGTGATGGGTTACAAGGATCCGTAGGTGATGCTTCAGCTAAAAAATTCATGTTAATTTATCAATAAATTACTGGTTGATAACATAAGACCAATAAGAATCACATTAAAGATGAACATTTTATTGGAACTTTTTTTTAATTTGAAAATTATTATTTCTTACGTTTTTGAGGAGTTGGATTACAGTATTTAAAGGGATCTCCAGTATATCCAGTGTAGCAGGTGCATGATGGAAGATGATTGACTACTTGGCACTCTGCATTCTGCCCACAGGTACCAGGACAAGGATCTTGGCACTTATTTCTAATACAAGCTTTATTTGAAGGACAATCACTGTTTAGAACACATTCTGGCCTGCAACCTTCATAAGGGTTTCCTATGTATTCTGGCAAACAAGTACAGGATCCAGCACCGTTTTGTTCTCTACATAGTGCATTAGCTCCACAAGGAGAAGGTTGGCATGGGGTCAATTTATCTTCAGCTGGTGACACTAGAAAAAGACGAAGGGTGTAACCAAATTTGCATTTCTATAAGGTATTGCTAAAGTATTTATTTTCAAATTTACATTGAATAGGATTGCATTGTGCAAATGGATCACCAGTAAATCCTGTTAAACAAATACATTGTGGAGTATGGCTCACAACTCTACATTCAGCATTGACACCACACGTATTTGGACATGGATCTTTACATTTCTGATTGATACATGCGAGATGGCTGGAGCATTCTCCATTGCTGATACATTCTGGTTTGCAATTAGGTGGAACTCCTAGGAAATCAGGCAAGCAAGAACAAGATGGGCTTTCCCCTGAGACTTTACATTGTGAATTGGGCCCACATGGTGATGGAACACATGGGTTCTGTGGCAATTGTGGTGGTGGATTGTTGGCTGTAACATAATCCCAAATATGATATTAGTATAAATAATAATAAACTATTAGATCTACAGCAGAATACTTGAATAAATAAAATCATACGTATTGGATGACAGCGAATAAATGGATCTCCAGTAAATTGTGCTGGGCAACTACAGATTGGATTATGATTAACTACTTCACATCTTGCTCCAACTCCACAAGTTCCAGGACATGGATTCTTACATTTCTGATTATTACATGCCTCATTTCGTCCACAATCTGAGTTCACTACACACTCAGGCCTGCAAGAGGGAGGTGTGCCTTTGTAACCTTCTAAACAAGAGCAAACAGATTGACCATTGATTGCACGGCACTGACTATATGGACCACAAGGAGAAGGTTGACAAGGTGATGTTTCGACTGGAACTAAAATGATATAAATATCATTTCATGTGCTATTCTTTAAACTATGTATTATGCTTTATTATTGAAAATGATACCTACCAACTACCGGTTTGCACTGTATAAATGGATTGCCAGACATTCCAGAAGGACAAGAACATATTGGAATATGATTTAAGACTTCACAATGAGCATCTTGTCCACACGTTCCAGGGCATGGGTCAGTACATTTATTCCTGATACAAGCTTTATTTCGTGGACATTCATTATTTAAAATGCATTCTGGTCTACATCCAGTATAAGGATCTCCTTGGTATTCTGGTAGACAGGTACAAACTCCCTCAGAACATTGAGTATTAGGTCCACAAGGCGAAGGATTACATGGATCAGTTGCTACTGGCTCTGGTGCTGTAAATTTAATTTATATATTTTCTAAATAACCATTTCTATGGTAATAATATATTCAATGAAAGTTTAAGATCTTACGTGGTGGAGGTTTTGGTACACAGTTGGTGAATGGGTCTCCAGTATAGCTAGGAGGACATGAACATATCGGTGTGTGGTTTATAACACTACATTGAGCTCCAATACCGCATGAACCAGGACACGGATCTCGGCATTTTTCTCTTATACAAGCTAAGTTACTTGAGCATTCTGCATTGATAGAACATTCAGGTCTACAATTTGGAGGAGATCCAGTATATTCTGGCAGACAAGAGCAGGAAGGTGTCATGCCAATATTTCTACATTGTGAATTCGGCCCGCAAGGTGAAGGTACACATGGATTAAAGTATTGAGGAGCAGAAGGTGGTTGAGGAGGTTCTATTTGCAAAAAAAAAAAATATATATATATATATATTAGATTTGAACTACAGTTACTTTTTAGTATTATTCTCCTATGAGACTTACTGGGCATTAGATGACATCTGGTAAATGGATCTCCAGTGTAGCTAGGTTTACAAGAGCAGATGGGACTATGATTGATAACTTGACATAGTGCGTTTTGACCACAAGTCCCTATGCAAGGGTCCACACACTTTTGATTCATGCATGCCTTGTTTGATGGACATTCAGCACTGACTACACATTCTGGTCTACAACCTGGAGGCGATCCAATATATTGTGGCAGACATGAACAAATGGCCTGGTCATTATTAACTTTACATTGACTGTTGGGGCCACAAGGAGTTGGATTGCATGGATTAATTGGTACTGGAACAGCTAAAGAAATGAAAAGAATAGCTTATGGTCTTGGTTTTTGTTTTATTAACAGTGTAATAAAATAATGCAAACTGAGATCAAATGATTTGATGAAGTAATAATAAGTTATATTTAGATAATTATTGATATTAATTCTAAAAAGTAGTGAAAACTGAATTTTAATGTTACTCTGTCATATTTTTATTTGGAAAGTATGTCTTACTTGTAGGAATTAAATTGCAGTATTTGAATGGGTCTCCTGTGTATCCAGAATTGCAAGTACATATGGGAATATGGTTAACAACATGACATTCTGCATTTTGACCACAGGTTCCTGGACATGGATCTTGGCATTTGTTTTTTACGCAAGCTTTGTTAGAAGGACAGTCAGAATTCAAGACGCACTCTGGTCTACATCCCTCATAAGGATTACCAATATATTCTGCAAGACATGAGCAAGAACCTGCACCATTCTGCTCCCTGCAGATGGCATTGGCTCCACAAGGTGACGGCTGACATGGTGTGATTATTTCTGATATAGGATCAGCTAAAAAAACAAGAATTATTTTTTATCTTCTAATATCGAAAAATTGAACATAAGTATTGTAAAATGACTTACGTTGTACAATGGTACATTGTATGAATGGATCTCCTGTAAAACCAGGTCTACAGACACAATGTGGAGTGTGACTAATTACTTGACAATCAGTATTAGAGCCACAAGTGTTGGGACAAGGATTTTTGCATTTCTGATTGATACAAGCAAGATGACTTGTGCATTCCCCATTACTGATACATTCTGGCCTGCAGCTAGGTGGTACTCCTAAGAAATCTGGTAAGCAAGAGCATGATGGACTATCCCCTGAAACTTTACACTGTGAGTGAGGGCCGCATGGAGATGGTAAGCACGGATTTTGTGGTGGTTGTGGAGGGAGAACTTCAGCTGAAATATATGAAATTATATATAAATAATTAATAATGGAACTTGTGAAATAACTTGATATGCTACTTGATAAACATGATAGCTTACGTATTGCGTGGCAACGGAAAAATGGATCTCCAGTATATCTTGGAGGACAACTACATATAGGGTTATGATTTACAACTTGACATCTGGCTCCAATTCCACAAGTTCCTGTACAAGGATTTCTACATTTTTGATTACTGCAAGCTTCATCCCTTTCACAATCAGAGTTAACAACACATTCAGGCCTACAGGAAGGTGGCATTCCTTTATATCCTTCCAAGCAAGAGCATACAGATTGTCCATTTACAGCTCGGCATTGACTGTTAGGTCCACATGGAGAAGGTTGACATGGAGATGATTCAACTGGGACTAAAATTTAGTATAAGATAGAGTTCATCTGTAGTGTATGAAAAATCATTGCTAGCTACAGAACTATTACTAACCTGTAACTGGTTTACACTGAATGAATGAATTACCAGACATTCCAGGAGGACAAGAACATATTGGAATATGATTCAAGACATCACAGCGAGCATCTTGTCCACATGTTCCAGGGCATGGGTCAGTACATTTATTTCTGATACAAGCTTTATTTCGTGGACATTCATTATTTAAAACACATTCTGGTCTACATCCAGTATAAGGATCTCCTTGGTATTCTGGTAGACAGGTACAAACCCCTTCAGCACAATGAGTATTAGGTCCACATGGGGAAGGATTACATGGATCAGTTGCTACTGGTTCTGGTGCTGTAAATTTAATTTATATTTTATATGATGTAAAGCTGGTTGACTGATATAATATGAGAAGAAATTGGTAGGAGGGGAGGGAGAGGTTGCGGTCAAATAAATACTAAATTTTTAAAAAGTTGTATTTTTAATTATGCTAACGTTTTGGCCCACCTTGCAGATCTTCATCTGGGTGTGGCATGTGGCACTACAGGAGGCAGTTGATAGTGGCCAGTCTATCAACTGCCTCCTGAAGTTTCACATGGCATGCCCTGATGAAGACCTGCAAGGTGGGTCGAAACTTCTGTGTAATTAAAAACACAACTTTTTAAAAATTTAGTATTTATTTGACCACACCCCCCGACCAATTCCTTCTCATATACTTCTAATTTCTAATTTTCTCTCTTCTTGGGGCAAAGTTGAGCATTAATCAAATATCAATTATGAATATATATATATATATATGTTTCAATATTGTTAGTTTATATATTTCATATTTTACAGAACTTGAAGTTAGAAGAAAAAATTGGCTCTAGTGGTCTACAAATCAAGACAGTTGCATATCTTCTCTTTCTTAAAAGGTGAGTAGATTAGAATAGTAAAAAATGTAATTAATGATACCAAGTACATATAATACATGATACCTAATTTCCATATAAAACTAAAAAATGTTGTATGATCATTGTTGAGTAACAGCCATAAATAATTTAAATCTTCAATCTAACTTGAATAAATGCCTAACTTTACTAAGAAGCAATAAATTCTTAAGATCTTACGTGTTGCTGGTTTTGGAACACAATTGGTGAATGGGTCTCCAGTGTAGCCATTGGGACATGTGCAAATCGGTGTATGGTTAATAACACTACACTCAGCTCCAGAGCCGCAAGAACCAGGGCAAGGATCTCGACACTTTTCTCTTATACAAGATAAAATACTTGGACACTCAGCGTTGATAGAACATTCTGGTCTGCAGTTGGGAGGAGAACCTTTATATTCAGGTAGACATGAGCATGATGGAGTACCGCCACTATCTCTGCACTGCGAATAAGGCCCACATGGAGAAGGAAGACATGGGTTGGTTATAATTTGAACTGGTTTGGTTGGAGGAGCTGAATAAAAAGAAATATAAATTATATAACGTAGCAAAAAAAAATTAAAATATCAAACAAAACATAATATAGTCTTACGTGGAATATGGTAGCATCGCGAAAATGGATCTCCTGTGTAACCAGCACGACAGGAGCATATTGGACTATGATTTATTACTTGGCACTGAGCATTTTGACCACAAGTTCCTGGACAGGGATCAATGCACTTTTGATTCACACAGGCTTTATTAGATGTACATTCAGAGCTGACAACACATTCAGGCCTACATCCTGGCGGAGTGCCAACATAATTTGCCAAGCAAGAACAAATAGCCTGCCCATTATTGACTTTACACTGACTGTTTGGACCGCAGGGCGATGGATTACATGGATCTACAGGAACTTTTTCAGCAGCTATTGAAAAATATAATTGGCCTGAGTAAGTACTGCATATAAAAACTGAAATATATGAAACATGATTTTTAACTATTAGACAATCAGAAGAGAAAATATTCTTACGTGCGTCTATAATTAAGTTGCAAAGTCGGAATGGATCTCCAGTATGACCAAGTTTACAAGTACAGGATGGTAAGTGGTTGACAACCTGGCACTCAGCATTCTGCCCACAAGTTCCGGGACAAGGATCCTCACATTTATTTCTAATACATGCTTTGTTGGAAGGGCAATCAGTATTGAGGACACACTCTGGTCTACATCCTTCATAAGGATTACCAATATATTCAGGGAGACATGAGCAAGAGCCAGCACCATTATGTTCTCTGCATACAGCATTAGCACCACAAGGGGATGGTTGACATGGTGATGCAATTTCCACAGGTATCGCTATTACGTAAATATAGAATAAATAATTAAAAAAATATATATATATATCTAAAAGATATTAACTTACGTTTAAAAACTGTACACTGTATAAATGGATCTCCAGTGTAACCAGGAGGACACAAGCACTGTGGAGTATGACTCACAACACGACAGATGGCATTGGTACCACAAGTATTTGGACATGGATCTTTACATTTTTTATTAATGCATGCTAAATGACTTGAACATTCTCCATTGCTGACACATTCAGGCTTGCAGTTGGGCGGGGCTCCGAGAAAGTCCGGCAAGCAGGAACATGACGGACTGTCTCCAGATACCTTACACTGTGAGTTGGGACCACATGGCGATGGTATGCAAGGGTTCTCGGGCCGCTGTTGTATAGGTTGATCGGCTGTAGGCGAGATGGAATAAGTTAGGAGTATATGAACCAAAAGAGATAAAAATAAAATAATTCATATTCAAACTTGGATACGGGTAGGCTTACGTATGGGTCTGCATCGGACGAACGGATCTCCGGTATATCGGGGAGGACAACTGCAGATAGGATTGTGATTGACGACTTCGCATCTCGCACCAACACCGCAGGTTCCCGGACATGGATTCCTGCATTTCTGGTTACTGCAGGCTTCGTTTCTTCCGCAGTCGGAGTTGACGACGCATTCCGGTCTACAGGATGGTGGCATTCCTTTGTATCCCGCCAAGCAAGAGCAGACGGACTGTCCGTTCACAGCTCTGCACTGACTGTACGGACCGCAAGGAGATGGTTGGCAAGGTGTGCTGTCGACAGGAGCTGAAACGGACATGCGAATGAAGAGCGTTTGATCACGAGGACACCATAGCAATCAAACTAGCACATTAAGATGTAAATCAATAATTCGTATTATACTGACCAGCAACAGGCCTACACTCAATGAACGGATTTCCCGACTTTCCGGGAGGGCAGGAGCACACAGGAATGTGATTAATCACATCGCATTGCGCTTCCTGTCCACAGGTTCCGGGGCAAGGGTCGGTACATTTATTCCTGATGCATGCTCGATTCCTTGGACAGTCGTTGTTAAGTACGCATTCGGGTCTGCATCCGGTGTAAGGGTCTCCTTGGTACTCGAGCAGGCAGGTGCATACGCCGTCGTTGCACTCGGCGTTCGCTCCGCACGGAGACGGATGGCAGGGATCGCTCTCCTGAGGTTCGGGCGCTGAAATGGTAGAGAGGTAAAGATCATGACTCGATCATCACAATAAACAGTGGAAGAACCTTGGTAAAGTACGAGAGAATTTTAATTCTTACGTGGCGGTGGTTTTGGGAAACAGTTCGTGAAGGGGTCTCCTGTATAACCTTCAGGACATGTGCAAATAGGGGTGTGATTAATGACGCTGCAATGAGCTCCTGTGCCGCACGAGCCCGGACATGGGTCTCTGCATTTCTCCCTCATACAGGCTAGATTACTGGGACATTCCGGGTTGATGGTACACTCCGGTCTGCAGTTGGGCGGTGAGCCAGTATATTCGGGCAGGCATGAGCACGATGGAGTTCCGCCGCTGTCCCTGCACTGCGAGTATGGTCCGCAAGGCGAGGGCACGCAGGGATTTAGAAGCACTGGAGATTGAGCAGGTGGCGGTGGAGCTGAATGAACAGAATTCCGACTTATAACAAAACAATTAAAAAAAAAACAAAAAAAAAACTCGGTGCACCGAGAATATATTAAGATTGTAGACCAAGATAAAAGACATGAAAATTAAGTCATTCAACCCTTACGTGGAATTCGGTAACATCTGGAAAACGGGTCTCCTGTATAACCTGAGCGGCATGAACAGATTGGACTGTGATTGATGACCTGGCACTGCGCGTTCTGGCCGCATGTTCCTGGACAGGGATCGATACATTTCTGATTCACGCAGGCTTTGTCGGATGAACATTCTGAACTGACGACGCACTCCGGTCTACAACCCGGCGGAGAGCCGACGTAATTCACCAAGCATGAGCAGATAGCTTGCCCGTTGTTTACTTTGCACTGGCTATTCGGTCCGCAGGGTGATGGGTTGCACGGGTCTACTGGTGTATCCGGTTCTGTTGGGAAAGATGAAAGAGTTTCATGTAGTTAAAGATGGCTGATAAGATAGAATATCGTCATATGTAATAATCAAATGGACCGATTGATGCTTACGTTTCGGCGGTGCTATGTTGCAGAATCGGAAAGGATCGCCGATGTATCCTGGATTGCATGTGCAGGAAGGTAGGTGGTTCACGACTTGGCAATCCGCGTTCTGTCCGCAAGTTCCAGGACAAGGATCCTGACACTTATTCCTAATGCAGGCTTTGTTGGAAGGACAATCGGTATTGTGGACGCACTCTGGTCTGCATCCCTCATATGGATTGCCGATGTATTCCGGTAGACATGAGCAAGAACCCGCACCGTTCTGTTCCCTGCAGACGGCATTGGCACCGCAAGGCGAAGGCTGGCAAGGGGTCGGCTTCTCTTGGACTGGCTCAGCTGGAAGGATAGAATGAAAATATAAGATACTGATCCCGATAGCTATCTTTTTGATTGTTTTCCCCTAATTATATTCCAACAACTTACATTGAAAAGGAGTACAACTGACGAAAGGATCACCAGTGTAACCAGTAGAGCACAAGCACTGCGGGGTGTGACTAACGACTCGGCAAATAGCGTTGGAGCCGCACGTATTTGGGCATGGGTCAACGCATTTCTGACGGATACAGGCGAGGTGACTGGAACATTCGCCGTTGCTGACACATTCGGGCCTGCAGTTGGGCGGTACTCCGAGAAAGTCTGGCAAGCAGGAACATGACGGACTGTCTCCAGATACCTTACACTGTGAGTTGGGACCACATGGCGATGGTATGCAAGGGTTCTCGGGCCGCTGTTGTATAGGTTGATCGGCTGTAGGCGAGATGGAATAAGTTAGGAGTATATGAACCAAAAGAGATAAAAATAAAATAATTCATATTCAAACTTGGATACGGGTAGGCTTACGTATGGGTCTGCATCGGACGAACGGATCTCCGGTATATCGGGGAGGACAACTGCAGATAGGATTGTGATTGACGACTTCGCATCTCGCACCAACACCGCAGGTTCCCGGACATGGATTCCTGCATTTCTGGTTACTGCAGGCTTCGTTTCTTCCGCAGTCGGAGTTGACGACGCATTCCGGTCTACAGGATGGTGGCATTCCTTTGTATCCCGCCAAGCAAGAGCAGACGGACTGTCCGTTCACAGCTCTGCACTGACTGTACGGACCGCAAGGAGATGGTTGGCAAGGTGTGCTGTCGACAGGAGCTGAAACGGACATGCGAATGAAGAGCGTTTGATCACGAGGACACCATAGCAATCAAACTAGCACATTAAGATGTAAATCAATAATTCGTATTATACTGACCAGCAACAGGCCTACACTCAATGAACGGATTTCCCGACTTTCCGGGAGGGCAGGAGCACACAGGAATGTGATTAATCACATCGCATTGCGCTTCCTGTCCACAGGTTCCGGGGCAAGGGTCGGTACATTTATTCCTGATGCATGCTCGATTCCTTGGACAGTCGTTGTTAAGTACGCATTCGGGTCTGCATCCGGTGTAAGGGTCTCCTTGGTACTCGAGCAGGCAGGTGCATACGCCGTCGTTGCACTCGGCGTTCGCTCCGCACGGAGACGGATGGCAGGGATCGCTCTCCTGAGGTTCGGGCGCTGAAATGGTAGAGAGGTAAAGATCATGACTCGATCATCACAATAAACAGTGGAAGAACCTTGGTAAAGTACGAGAGAATTTTAATTCTTACGTGGCGGTGGTTTTGGGAAACAGTTCGTGAAGGGGTCTCCTGTATAACCTTCAGGACATGTGCAAATAGGGGTGTGATTAATGACGCTGCAATGAGCTCCTGTGCCGCACGAGCCCGGACATGGGTCTCTGCATTTCTCCCTCATACAGGCTAGATTACTGGGACATTCCGGGTTGATGGTACACTCCGGTCTGCAGTTGGGCGGTGAGCCAGTATATTCGGGCAGGCATGAGCACGATGGAGTTCCGCCGCTGTCCCTGCACTGCGAGTATGGTCCGCAAGGCGAGGGCACGCAGGGATTTAGAAGCACTGGAGATTGAGCAGGTGGCGGTGGAGCTGAATGAACAGAATTCCGACTTATAACAAAACAATTAAAAAAAAAACAAAAAAAAAACTCGGTGCACCGAGAATATATTAAGATTGTAGACCAAGATAAAAGACATGAAAATTAAGTCATTCAACCCTTACGTGGAATTCGGTAACATCTGGAAAACGGGTCTCCTGTATAACCTGAGCGGCATGAACAGATTGGACTGTGATTGATGACCTGGCACTGCGCGTTCTGGCCGCATGTTCCTGGACAGGGATCGATACATTTCTGATTCACGCAGGCTTTGTCGGATGAACATTCTGAACTGACGACGCACTCCGGTCTACAACCCGGCGGAGAGCCGACGTAATTCACCAAGCATGAGCAGATAGCTTGCCCGTTGTTTACTTTGCACTGGCTATTCGGTCCGCAGGGTGATGGGTTGCACGGGTCTACTGGTGTATCCGGTTCTGTTGGGAAAGATGAAAGAGTTTCATGTAGTTAAAGATGGCTGATAAGATAGAATATCGTCATATGTAATAATCAAATGGACCGATTGATGCTTACGTTTCGGCGGTGCTATGTTGCAGAATCGGAAAGGATCGCCGATGTATCCTGGATTGCATGTGCAGGAAGGTAGGTGGTTCACGACTTGGCAATCCGCGTTCTGTCCGCAAGTTCCAGGACAAGGATCCTGACACTTATTCCTAATGCAGGCTTTGTTGGAAGGACAATCGGTATTGTGGACGCACTCTGGTCTGCATCCCTCATATGGATTGCCGATGTATTCCGGTAGACATGAGCAAGAACCCGCACCGTTCTGTTCCCTGCAGACGGCATTGGCACCGCAAGGCGAAGGCTGGCAAGGGGTCGGCTTCTCTTGGACTGGCTCAGCTGGAAGGATAGAATGAAAATATAAGATACTGATCCCGATAGCTATCTTTTTGATTGTTTTCCCCTAATTATATTCCAACAACTTACATTGAAAAGGAGTACAACTGACGAAAGGATCACCAGTGTAACCAGTAGAGCACAAGCACTGCGGGGTGTGACTAACGACTCGGCAAATAGCGTTGGAGCCGCACGTATTTGGGCATGGGTCAACGCATTTCTGACGGATACAGGCGAGGTGACTGGAACATTCGCCGTTGCTGACACATTCGGGCCTGCAGTTGGGCGGTACTCCGAGAAAGTCTGGCAAGCAGGAACATGACGGACTGTCTCCAGATACCTTACACTGTGAGTTGGGACCACATGGCGATGGTATGCAAGGGTTCTCGGGCCGCTGTTGTATAGGTTGATCGGCTGTAGGCGAGATGGAATAAGTTAGGAGTATATGAACCAAAAGAGATAAAAATAAAATAATTCATATTCAAACTTGGATACGGGTAGGCTTACGTATGGGTCTGCATCGGACGAACGGATCTCCGGTATATCGGGGAGGACAACTGCAGATAGGATTGTGATTGACGACTTCGCATCTCGCACCAACACCGCAGGTTCCCGGACATGGATTCCTGCATTTCTGGTTACTGCAGGCTTCGTTTCTTCCGCAGTCGGAGTTGACGACGCATTCCGGTCTACAGGATGGTGGCATTCCTTTGTATCCCGCCAAGCAAGAGCAGACGGACTGTCCGTTCACAGCTCTGCACTGACTGTACGGACCGCAAGGAGATGGTTGGCAAGGTGTGCTGTCGACAGGAGCTGAAACGGACATGCGAATGAAGAGCGTTTGATCACGAGGACACCATAGCAATCAAACTAGCACATTAAGATGTAAATCAATAATTCGTATTATACTGACCAGCAACAGGCCTACACTCAATGAACGGATTTCCCGACTTTCCGGGAGGGCAGGAGCACACAGGAATGTGATTAATCACATCGCATTGCGCTTCCTGTCCACAGGTTCCGGGGCAAGGGTCGGTACATTTATTCCTGATGCATGCTCGATTCCTTGGACAGTCGTTGTTAAGTACGCATTCGGGTCTGCATCCGGTGTAAGGGTCTCCTTGGTACTCGAGCAGGCAGGTGCATACGCCGTCGTTGCACTCGGCGTTCGCTCCGCACGGAGACGGATGGCAGGGATCGCTCTCCTGAGGTTCGGGCGCTGAAATGGTAGAGAGGTAAAGATCATGACTCGATCATCACAATAAACAGTGGAAGAACCTTGGTAAAGTACGAGAGAATTTTAATTCTTACGTGGCGGTGGTTTTGGGAAACAGTTCGTGAAGGGGTCTCCTGTATAACCTTCAGGACATGTGCAAATAGGGGTGTGATTAATGACGCTGCAATGAGCTCCTGTGCCGCACGAGCCCGGACATGGGTCTCTGCATTTCTCCCTCATACAGGCTAGATTACTGGGACATTCCGGGTTGATGGTACACTCCGGTCTGCAGTTGGGCGGTGAGCCAGTATATTCGGGCAGGCATGAGCACGATGGAGTTCCGCCGCTGTCCCTGCACTGCGAGTATGGTCCGCAAGGCGAGGGCACGCAGGGATTTAGAAGCACTGGAGATTGAGCAGGTGGCGGTGGAGCTGAATGAACAGAATTCCGACTTATAACAAAACAATTAAAAAAAAAACAAAAAAAAAACTCGGTGCACCGAGAATATATTAAGATTGTAGACCAAGATAAAAGACATGAAAATTAAGTCATTCAACCCTTACGTGGAATTCGGTAACATCTGGAAAACGGGTCTCCTGTATAACCTGAGCGGCATGAACAGATTGGACTGTGATTGATGACCTGGCACTGCGCGTTCTGGCCGCATGTTCCTGGACAGGGATCGATACATTTCTGATTCACGCAGGCTTTGTCGGATGAACATTCTGAACTGACGACGCACTCCGGTCTACAACCCGGCGGAGAGCCGACGTAATTCACCAAGCATGAGCAGATAGCTTGCCCGTTGTTTACTTTGCACTGGCTATTCGGTCCGCAGGGTGATGGGTTGCACGGGTCTACTGGTGTATCCGGTTCTGTTGGGAAAGATGAAAGAGTTTCATGTAGTTAAAGATGGCTGATAAGATAGAATATCGTCATATGTAATAATCAAATGGACCGATTGATGCTTACGTTTCGGCGGTGCTATGTTGCAGAATCGGAAAGGATCGCCGATGTATCCTGGATTGCATGTGCAGGAAGGTAGGTGGTTCACGACTTGGCAATCCGCGTTCTGTCCGCAAGTTCCAGGACAAGGATCCTGACACTTATTCCTAATGCAGGCTTTGTTGGAAGGACAATCGGTATTGTGGACGCACTCTGGTCTGCATCCCTCATATGGATTGCCGATGTATTCCGGTAGACATGAGCAAGAACCCGCACCGTTCTGTTCCCTGCAGACGGCATTGGCACCGCAAGGCGAAGGCTGGCAAGGGGTCGGCTTCTCTTGGACTGGCTCAGCTGGAAGGATAGAATGAAAATATAAGATACTGATCCCGATAGCTATCTTTTTGATTGTTTTCCCCTAATTATATTCCAACAACTTACATTGAAAAGGAGTACAACTGACGAAAGGATCACCAGTGTAACCAGTAGAGCACAAGCACTGCGGGGTGTGACTAACGACTCGGCAAATAGCGTTGGAGCCGCACGTATTTGGGCATGGGTCAACGCATTTCTGACGGATACAGGCGAGGTGACTGGAACATTCGCCGTTGCTGACACATTCGGGCCTGCAGTTGGGCGGTACTCCGAGAAAGTCTGGCAAGCAGGAACATGACGGACTGTCTCCAGATACCTTACACTGTGAGTTGGGACCACATGGCGATGGTATGCAAGGGTTCTCGGGCCGCTGTTGTATAGGTTGATCGGCTGTAGGCGAGATGGAATAAGTTAGGAGTATATGAACCAAAAGAGATAAAAATAAAATAATTCATATTCAAACTTGGATACGGGTAGGCTTACGTATGGGTCTGCATCGGACGAACGGATCTCCGGTATATCGGGGAGGACAACTGCAGATAGGATTGTGATTGACGACTTCGCATCTCGCACCAACACCGCAGGTTCCCGGACATGGATTCCTGCATTTCTGGTTACTGCAGGCTTCGTTTCTTCCGCAGTCGGAGTTGACGACGCATTCCGGTCTACAGGATGGTGGCATTCCTTTGTATCCCGCCAAGCAAGAGCAGACGGACTGTCCGTTCACAGCTCTGCACTGACTGTACGGACCGCAAGGAGATGGTTGGCAAGGTGTGCTGTCGACAGGAGCTGAAACGGACATGCGAATGAAGAGCGTTTGATCACGAGGACACCATAGCAATCAAACTAGCACATTAAGATGTAAATCAATAATTCGTATTATACTGACCAGCAACAGGCCTACACTCAATGAACGGATTTCCCGACTTTCCGGGAGGGCAGGAGCACACAGGAATGTGATTAATCACATCGCATTGCGCTTCCTGTCCACAGGTTCCGGGGCAAGGGTCGGTACATTTATTCCTGATGCATGCTCGATTCCTTGGACAGTCGTTGTTAAGTACGCATTCGGGTCTGCATCCGGTGTAAGGGTCTCCTTGGTACTCGAGCAGGCAGGTGCATACGCCGTCGTTGCACTCGGCGTTCGCTCCGCACGGAGACGGATGGCAGGGATCGCTCTCCTGAGGTTCGGGCGCTGAAATGGTAGAGAGGTAAAGATCATGACTCGATCATCACAATAAACAGTGGAAGAACCTTGGTAAAGTACGAGAGAATTTTAATTCTTACGTGGCGGTGGTTTTGGGAAACAGTTCGTGAAGGGGTCTCCTGTATAACCTTCAGGACATGTGCAAATAGGGGTGTGATTAATGACGCTGCAATGAGCTCCTGTGCCGCACGAGCCCGGACATGGGTCTCTGCATTTCTCCCTCATACAGGCTAGATTACTGGGACATTCCGGGTTGATGGTACACTCCGGTCTGCAGTTGGGCGGTGAGCCAGTATATTCGGGCAGGCATGAGCACGATGGAGTTCCGCCGCTGTCCCTGCACTGCGAGTATGGTCCGCAAGGCGAGGGCACGCAGGGATTTAGAAGCACTGGAGATTGAGCAGGTGGCGGTGGAGCTGAATGAACAGAATTCCGACTTATAACAAAACAATTAAAAAAAAAACAAAAAAAAAACTCGGTGCACCGAGAATATATTAAGATTGTAGACCAAGATAAAAGACATGAAAATTAAGTCATTCAACCCTTACGTGGAATTCGGTAACATCTGGAAAACGGGTCTCCTGTATAACCTGAGCGGCATGAACAGATTGGACTGTGATTGATGACCTGGCACTGCGCGTTCTGGCCGCATGTTCCTGGACAGGGATCGATACATTTCTGATTCACGCAGGCTTTGTCGGATGAACATTCTGAACTGACGACGCACTCCGGTCTACAACCCGGCGGAGAGCCGACGTAATTCACCAAGCATGAGCAGATAGCTTGCCCGTTGTTTACTTTGCACTGGCTATTCGGTCCGCAGGGTGATGGGTTGCACGGGTCTACTGGTGTATCCGGTTCTGTTGGGAAAGATGAAAGAGTTTCATGTAGTTAAAGATGGCTGATAAGATAGAATATCGTCATATGTAATAATCAAATGGACCGATTGATGCTTACGTTTCGGCGGTGCTATGTTGCAGAATCGGAAAGGATCGCCGATGTATCCTGGATTGCATGTGCAGGAAGGTAGGTGGTTCACGACTTGGCAATCCGCGTTCTGTCCGCAAGTTCCAGGACAAGGATCCTGACACTTATTCCTAATGCAGGCTTTGTTGGAAGGACAATCGGTATTGTGGACGCACTCTGGTCTGCATCCCTCATATGGATTGCCGATGTATTCCGGTAGACATGAGCAAGAACCCGCACCGTTCTGTTCCCTGCAGACGGCATTGGCACCGCAAGGCGAAGGCTGGCAAGGGGTCGGCTTCTCTTGGACTGGCTCAGCTGGAAGGATAGAATGAAAATATAAGATACTGATCCCGATAGCTATCTTTTTGATTGTTTTCCCCTAATTATATTCCAACAACTTACATTGAAAAGGAGTACAACTGACGAAAGGATCACCAGTGTAACCAGTAGAGCACAAGCACTGCGGGGTGTGACTAACGACTCGGCAAATAGCGTTGGAGCCGCACGTATTTGGGCATGGGTCAACGCATTTCTGACGGATACAGGCGAGGTGACTGGAACATTCGCCGTTGCTGACACATTCGGGCCTGCAGTTGGGCGGTACTCCGAGAAAGTCTGGCAAGCAGGAACATGACGGACTGTCTCCAGATACCTTACACTGTGAGTTGGGACCACATGGCGATGGTATGCAAGGGTTCTCGGGCCGCTGTTGTATAGGTTGATCGGCTGTAGGCGAGATGGAATAAGTTAGGAGTATATGAACCAAAAGAGATAAAAATAAAATAATTCATATTCAAACTTGGATACGGGTAGGCTTACGTATGGGTCTGCATCGGACGAACGGATCTCCGGTATATCGGGGAGGACAACTGCAGATAGGATTGTGATTGACGACTTCGCATCTCGCACCAACACCGCAGGTTCCCGGACATGGATTCCTGCATTTCTGGTTACTGCAGGCTTCGTTTCTTCCGCAGTCGGAGTTGACGACGCATTCCGGTCTACAGGATGGTGGCATTCCTTTGTATCCCGCCAAGCAAGAGCAGACGGACTGTCCGTTCACAGCTCTGCACTGACTGTACGGACCGCAAGGAGATGGTTGGCAAGGTGTGCTGTCGACAGGAGCTGAAACGGACATGCGAATGAAGAGCGTTTGATCACGAGGACACCATAGCAATCAAACTAGCACATTAAGATGTAAATCAATAATTCGTATTATACTGACCAGCAACAGGCCTACACTCAATGAACGGATTTCCCGACTTTCCGGGAGGGCAGGAGCACACAGGAATGTGATTAATCACATCGCATTGCGCTTCCTGTCCACAGGTTCCGGGGCAAGGGTCGGTACATTTATTCCTGATGCATGCTCGATTCCTTGGACAGTCGTTGTTAAGTACGCATTCGGGTCTGCATCCGGTGTAAGGGTCTCCTTGGTACTCGAGCAGGCAGGTGCATACGCCGTCGTTGCACTCGGCGTTCGCTCCGCACGGAGACGGATGGCAGGGATCGCTCTCCTGAGGTTCGGGCGCTGAAATGGTAGAGAGGTAAAGATCATGACTCGATCATCACAATAAACAGTGGAAGAACCTTGGTAAAGTACGAGAGAATTTTAATTCTTACGTGGCGGTGGTTTTGGGAAACAGTTCGTGAAGGGGTCTCCTGTATAACCTTCAGGACATGTGCAAATAGGGGTGTGATTAATGACGCTGCAATGAGCTCCTGTGCCGCACGAGCCCGGACATGGGTCTCTGCATTTCTCCCTCATACAGGCTAGATTACTGGGACATTCCGGGTTGATGGTACACTCCGGTCTGCAGTTGGGCGGTGAGCCAGTATATTCGGGCAGGCATGAGCACGATGGAGTTCCGCCGCTGTCCCTGCACTGCGAGTATGGTCCGCAAGGCGAGGGCACGCAGGGATTTAGAAGCACTGGAGATTGAGCAGGTGGCGGTGGAGCTGAATGAACAGAATTCCGACTTATAACAAAACAATTAAAAAAAAAACAAAAAAAAAACTCGGTGCACCGAGAATATATTAAGATTGTAGACCAAGATAAAAGACATGAAAATTAAGTCATTCAACCCTTACGTGGAATTCGGTAACATCTGGAAAACGGGTCTCCTGTATAACCTGAGCGGCATGAACAGATTGGACTGTGATTGATGACCTGGCACTGCGCGTTCTGGCCGCATGTTCCTGGACAGGGATCGATACATTTCTGATTCACGCAGGCTTTGTCGGATGAACATTCTGAACTGACGACGCACTCCGGTCTACAACCCGGCGGAGAGCCGACGTAATTCACCAAGCATGAGCAGATAGCTTGCCCGTTGTTTACTTTGCACTGGCTATTCGGTCCGCAGGGTGATGGGTTGCACGGGTCTACTGGTGTATCCGGTTCTGTTGGGAAAGATGAAAGAGTTTCATGTAGTTAAAGATGGCTGATAAGATAGAATATCGTCATATGTAATAATCAAATGGACCGATTGATGCTTACGTTTCGGCGGTGCTATGTTGCAGAATCGGAAAGGATCGCCGATGTATCCTGGATTGCATGTGCAGGAAGGTAGGTGGTTCACGACTTGGCAATCCGCGTTCTGTCCGCAAGTTCCAGGACAAGGATCCTGACACTTATTCCTAATGCAGGCTTTGTTGGAAGGACAATCGGTATTGTGGACGCACTCTGGTCTGCATCCCTCATATGGATTGCCGATGTATTCCGGTAGACATGAGCAAGAACCCGCACCGTTCTGTTCCCTGCAGACGGCATTGGCACCGCAAGGCGAAGGCTGGCAAGGGGTCGGCTTCTCTTGGACTGGCTCAGCTGGAAGGATAGAATGAAAATATAAGATACTGATCCCGATAGCTATCTTTTTGATTGTTTTCCCCTAATTATATTCCAACAACTTACATTGAAAAGGAGTACAACTGACGAAAGGATCACCAGTGTAACCAGTAGAGCACAAGCACTGCGGGGTGTGACTAACGACTCGGCAAATAGCGTTGGAGCCGCACGTATTTGGGCATGGGTCAACGCATTTCTGACGGATACAGGCGAGGTGACTGGAACATTCGCCGTTGCTGACACATTCGGGCCTGCAGTTGGGCGGTACTCCGAGGAAGTCTGGCAAGCAGGAACATGACGGACTGTCTCCAGATACCTTACACTGTGAGTTGGGACCACATGGCGATGGTATGCAAGGGTTCTCGGGCCGCTGTTGTATAGGTTGATCGGCTGTAGGCGAGATGGAATAAGTTAGGAGTATATGAACCAAAAGAGATAAAAATAAAATAATTCATATTCAAACTTGGATACGGGTAGGCTTACGTATGGGTCTGCATCGGACGAACGGATCTCCGGTATATCGGGGAGGACAACTGCAGATAGGATTGTGATTGACGACTTCGCATCTCGCACCAACACCGCAGGTTCCCGGACATGGATTCCTGCATTTCTGGTTACTGCAGGCTTCGTTTCTTCCGCAGTCGGAGTTGACGACGCATTCCGGTCTACAGGATGGTGGCATTCCTTTGTATCCCGCCAAGCAAGAGCAGACGGACTGTCCGTTCACAGCTCTGCACTGACTGTACGGACCGCAAGGAGATGGTTGGCAAGGTGTGCTGTCGACAGGAGCTGAAACGGACATGCGAATGAAGAGCGTTTGATCACGAGGACACCATAGCAATCAAACTAGCACATTAAGATGTAAATCAATAATTCGTATTATACTGACCAGCAACAGGCCTACACTCAATGAACGGATTTCCCGACTTTCCGGGAGGGCAGGAGCACACAGGAATGTGATTAATCACATCGCATTGCGCTTCCTGTCCACAGGTTCCGGGGCAAGGGTCGGTACATTTATTCCTGATGCATGCTCGATTCCTTGGACAGTCGTTGTTAAGTACGCATTCGGGTCTGCATCCGGTGTAAGGGTCTCCTTGGTACTCGAGCAGGCAGGTGCATACGCCGTCGTTGCACTCGGCGTTCGCTCCGCACGGAGACGGATGGCAGGGATCGCTCTCCTGAGGTTCGGGCGCTGAAATGGTAGAGAGGTAAAGATCATGACTCGATCATCACAATAAACAGTGGAAGAACCTTGGTAAAGTACGAGAGAATTTTAATTCTTACGTGGCGGTGGTTTTGGGAAACAGTTCGTGAAGGGGTCTCCTGTATAACCTTCAGGACATGTGCAAATAGGGGTGTGATTAATGACGCTGCAATGAGCTCCTGTGCCGCACGAGCCCGGACATGGGTCTCTGCATTTCTCCCTCATACAGGCTAGATTACTGGGACATTCCGGGTTGATGGTACACTCCGGTCTGCAGTTGGGCGGTGAGCCAGTATATTCGGGCAGGCATGAGCACGATGGAGTTCCGCCGCTGTCCCTGCACTGCGAGTATGGTCCGCAAGGCGAGGGCACGCAGGGATTTAGAAGCACTGGAGATTGAGCAGGTGGCGGTGGAGCTGAATGAACAGAATTCCGACTTATAACAAAACAATTAAAAAAAAAACAAAAAAAAAACTCGGTGCACCGAGAATATATTAAGATTGTAGACCAAGATAAAAGACATGAAAATTAAGTCATTCAACCCTTACGTGGAATTCGGTAACATCTGGAAAACGGGTCTCCTGTATAACCTGAGCGGCATGAACAGATTGGACTGTGATTGATGACCTGGCACTGCGCGTTCTGGCCGCATGTTCCTGGACAGGGATCGATACATTTCTGATTCACGCAGGCTTTGTCGGATGAACATTCTGAACTGACGACGCACTCCGGTCTACAACCCGGCGGAGAGCCGACGTAATTCACCAAGCATGAGCAGATAGCTTGCCCGTTGTTTACTTTGCACTGGCTATTCGGTCCGCAGGGTGATGGGTTGCACGGGTCTACTGGTGTATCCGGTTCTGTTGGGAAAGATGAAAGAGTTTCATGTAGTTAAAGATGGCTGATAAGATAGAATATCGTCATATGTAATAATCAAATGGACCGATTGATGCTTACGTTTCGGCGGTGCTATGTTGCAGAATCGGAAAGGATCGCCGATGTATCCTGGATTGCATGTGCAGGAAGGTAGGTGGTTCACGACTTGGCAATCCGCGTTCTGTCCGCAAGTTCCAGGACAAGGATCCTGACACTTATTCCTAATGCAGGCTTTGTTGGAAGGACAATCGGTATTGTGGACGCACTCTGGTCTGCATCCCTCATATGGATTGCCGATGTATTCCGGTAGACATGAGCAAGAACCCGCACCGTTCTGTTCCCTGCAGACGGCATTGGCACCGCAAGGCGAAGGCTGGCAAGGGGTCGGCTTCTCTTGGATTGATTCAACTACAAAGTTTTTAAAAATCTTTTATTCCATATTCATCCATTGATTTATTATTTCTTTAGTAACTGCATGATGATTTTAATTTTTTTTCTGGTTGGTGTTAATTGAGTACTTAGGATTGAGCACATTTAGAAATCTTACAATTATAATTTATTCTCGTTTTATTTGAAGGTCTTGATTATATATATTCTTGTAGATACACACGATAATGATCTTATTTATATCACGCCTATTACTTTACTTCCAATTTTCTTTTAGACTGGAGTTGTTATTTATGATTTATACATCAAGCTGTAGATCACAGATTATTTCACTTTACGATTTTATTAGTAGGGCAGATACCGGTGTATCCAGGGGATTTAAAGGAGGTATATAGCATACAATTCACAATTTCTAATAAATGTACAAATGAAGGTTGATTGAAAGCGTAAGCTAGTTTGTTTTAGCTCTGACATTTTTACAAAGTGATAGTATTCCTATGTTTTTTTTCTAATAAGCAAAGGAAAAATGCCTTAAATAGCGTTCTAATTTCATTACAGACTTTATTAATTATGTATAAGCCACCTAGGCATTTATGAGAGAAATAATATGCTTTTTCTACATTTAGTGATTGTGCTATACAATGATTTTACTGTGCAGATATTCATAAAAATAACTAGAATTATTCAACAGCAATGGAGAAGTAGCTGCATGATAGCTGACTATTGTAAATTCAATAGTAATTATATTGGACTTCATAATTAATAATGTGATATGTTCCCAATGCCAACTGTATAATGGATTTTCGTTTGAAAATTTATTTCTAGAAATGTTGTAATAAAATGGTTCTAAAAACTAATGGAAGTTTAAAATATATATGAAAAAAAAAGAAGACAACTCCAAATATTCTCAAATTCATTTTATTATGAAAATACATTGGTAACAGATGAAGTTTTTAAGTTATTCTATGATACATTTCATTTCCAAATGAAATCTGATTTCGTAGTTAAGGGTTCTATATTACTAAATCAACTGACTATTATATAATGAAACAAAAGGAATTAACGATGCGGACAATCAACCATGGAACAAAGATTGGATCCTAACAATAGACCGTATACTTCAAGATGAGAATTTATAATTCCTCAAGACATCAAAAACTGGACAACAATAATCTGAGCAAAATGTTTCAAACCAAAAATCAATCTTAACTGAGAATTAAGTCCTTGAAAATTCAATGTAACAGCACAAGATAGCATGCATCATGCAATTTTTAACATGAACATATATAACCTTTATCAATGAATAAATTATTAATGGGGATAGAAGTTTAGTTAGAAAACACTAGCTCTAAAATAAAGTAAAGAAAAGTCGTTCATATATTATTTTTATGATCTGTTTAATTTTAAATGTTAAAAAAAAAGAAAGAAAGAATCAGTATGAATTAAGTTGCTGTAATATTATAAATTACTTAATATTTAATTAAAGCATATTATTTTCAATCTCCATTTAAATAATACCCATAAAAATATATAACGATTTGGCTTGGAAATCCCGTATTTTTAATAGCTGGAGGATGGTAGATATTTTATTTACTAAAAATGGTGGAGTTCTTTTATAATTATATCCCCTCTTTGCAAGTGATGTTTTATCCAATCTCCTACAGGTAAAACCTGGATAACTTGGAGGATATACCTGTCTTGCAGAAGGACTCTGGGAGATTCCGAACAAGACTTGTTGGAATGGAAAAAACATCCCCTTTGTTCTGGGCACTAGCGGATCCAGAAATTAATTTTTTTGGGAGGGGGTGGCTTCAGCCCGAAAGATTTTTTTTTCATATACATATAACGATAATTAATTAGAAAAAAAAGGAAGACATTAACTACCTATATGAAATGGTTTTTAAGTGGTTCTTGAAGTCCTATTAAATGTAATTACATGAACAAGAATACTTTAAAAGAGTTTTTAATATTTTTTTCTGTAAAACATGATTATATTTTACCATTTTGGGGGAAGCTTCAGCCCGAAAGCCCCCCTCGTAGATCCGCCTGTGGTTCTGGGTATAATATTTTGGAGACTGCCAAGAATATCATACATGCCTGTACAGTTGTCAGGCATTGACAAGGATAGGTTATAGTCAATAGATCATCTACCATTTTTTTTTTTTTTTGTAGTTTTTACATCAAACAAATTGGACACATGGCTTATAAAAAAATGTAAAAATGATATTCCATAATTTTTTAATCCTATTATTCTGCAATTACAAAAAACATTAACACGTGCTTTTTGGTTTGTTTTTACTTTCACTTACGTATATATGTAATATATAGTAAGAATAAGTATTGCGATCGTGAAAATTTTTGAATCTCAGTTTTCAACGGAAATACATGTTTTGAGGTCCCCTGAGTTCAAATAACCAAGTGTCGCAAAATGGTCTGTGGCGATACCTAATTTCTGGTGTCCCTCCTGGCAATATGCTTGAGTAGGGGAGAGGGAGTGGTGAGGGGGAAGGGAATTCCCCTCTCTCTCCCATATTCCCGATTTTTTTTAAAAGATAAAATGGATATATGTTTCAGTAGATGAGTGATACTTTGTTTTACTTTTTTTTAGGGGAGGGAGTTTACTTCCCTCCGATTTTTTTTAAAGATAAAAAGGATACATGTTTCGATAGGTGGGTAATACTTTGTTTTACTTTCATTACTTTCACTTACCTATATATGTAATATATAGCAAGGGAAAGTATTACGATCGTGAAAATTTTCGAATCTGAGCTTTCAACGAAAATATACGTTTTGTGGTACCCTGAGTTCAAATAACCAAGTGTCGCAAAATGGTCTGTGGCGATACCTAATTTCTGGTGTCCCTCCTGGCAATATGCTTGAGTAGGGGAGAGGGAGTGGTGAGGGGGAAGGGAATTCCCCTCTCTCTCCCATATTCCCGATTTTTTTTAAAAGATAAAATGGATATATGTTTCAGTAGATGAGTGATACTTTGTTTTACTTTTTTTTAGGGGAGGGAGTTTACTTCCCTCCGATTTTTTTTAAAGATAAAAAGGATACATGTTTCGATAGGTGGGTAATACTTTGTTTTACTTTCATTACTTTCACTTACCTATATATGTAATATATAGCAAGGGAAAGTATTACGATCGTGAAAATTTTCGAATCTGAGCTTTCAACGAAAATATACGTTTTGTGGTACCCTGAGTCCAAATAACCAAGTCCCGCAAAATGGTCTGTGTTTGTGTGTTAGCAGTCTAGCTCAGCAACGAAAAGTCGCATAAAAGTGTAATTTCATATTTAAGGTTTTTATGTGCCTGAAATGTTACAACTTTTTCGTAAAAATGGGCTAACCGGAAATGCCACTTTATTTCAACGGTGAAACACATTTTTACAATTTTCTCAAAAACGGCTCCAACGATTTTGATTAAACTCGGTGCATCGTTGTATAATTAAGTAGTCTTTAATATAAATTAGGTATTATCCCCATTGATGTCACTTTACAGGCTTGAATGCCCAATGTTAATATAAGTCTTCCTCTAAAGTACCTTTTAAATAATTAATCACCTCGCATTATTAAGAGTTACGAAAAAATGTTAAATATAACTTTGAAAGAATTTGATAATCGAATAAAGGAAAAATGAATAACAATGCTTATCCAGGTCGAAAATGAATCTCCGGAAGTAGTAGTCAAGGGGTATGCGTATAATATACCGTTGGAAAGCGGAGAATTTTAGAAAAAAACAATATCTAATAAAGAAAGTTGTAGAAGGTAAGGGAGAGTACCGAAAAAATTATCCCCATCCACATCCACACTTATATTATTATAGTAAGGCTCGAAATCTGTTTTGTACCAAATACAAGCTCCCGTCATACTCAAATACCATGAATAGGATACCGTGTTGGATTCAGAATTTCACGGAGTACAGCAGCTGCGGAACTATCGGTCCCTGCCTTTTTAAGCCCAAAAATGTACTATTTTCGAGATAACGCAAGGCATAGGGTTCGCATCCACACAACCTTACGTTAATTATAGTACTGTCATTGAATACATGTCTCATTTCCTCGACTTGAGGCCCTTATGATCGAGAGAGGAGGAGTAAAATGTAAAAAACTAAAGTGCTAACACGGGTTACCAAGAGAAAACTTTTTGCAGCCAAAAAATCCAGATTTATCTGATATATATTTTTTTTCATGTATTGCTACTAAAGAGTGCATCAAAGCGGAAAAACGTATTCTATAAGAAATTAAAGAACGCCAAATTGTTTGTCAAACGAGTACCTAAACTTAATAATTTGATTTAATAATAGTTCACGTCGATAACCACGGTCAATGAACGCTAATTTTTACCGACATTGTCAAAATCTGAGAAAGATTACTACAAATGGTCCTGCAGTTTGGAAATGAGTTCTCAAAGAAAAAAAACTCAGAATAAATTCCGATTCATACCGGAGATTAAACAATTAGTACCTTCCTTCATGAAAACGTTCCCAAAAGCAGCTATTTTAAGAAAAGAACAACACTTTCAAATGAGAAAAATACAAATTATTATTGTGACCAGTTCTATGAATCGCATGGATTCAAGGGGACTATAGTAGCTGGAGGTTGAAATGCTATTGGAAATGAATAAAAATTAGATCCGTGAGAAAACCCGTATTTTTTTGTGTTCGAATAAAAGGTTGTTCGAAAGAATAAATGAAATTCATTTTTTTTAAAATAAATTTTCCTCTATCGTGTATTTCACCTGGGAGATTCAGTTCGGTGTCAATGAGAACAAACTGTGACAAGAGCACAAAAAAGCCTTCGCATCTCACGGCTACCCAAAAAATACATCACTCTTTTTTTTAAATAGCTGTTTTTTTTAAAGGAGTTTTTTGTCCACCATACAGAGGGAGGGTCATTCCTTGCAGAATTCGCTAGTGCTGGTCACGATAATATTTTTTTCAAACATTACATTAGAAAATTCGTCTATGAAGACGAATTTTCCCTATATTTCTCTTTTCATTAAACAGCTGTTTAAAATA